AAAAAGTGTATATATTTCTTAGCTTCTATAGTAGAAATATTAATTTAAAATACGAATACTAACGTAGTAGGATTTCTTAAAGTCTACTAAGAAGGCTAAGATACAGATACTTATAATACTAATATAGAAGAAAATGCCGATATAGATTAATAGGCTTATGAATACCCTGGAGATAGTATAGATATCTATAAAATTTATTAAATAAAAAGTAGACTAAAAGCTAATTGAAGGAGCTTGCGTAGTATTCGCAGCAGGCTTTAAAATTTGTTTCTTAAAAACCCGAGTGTAAAAGGCGTTTTAACTTCTTATATATAGTAGATAATTATATTATAAGATCTATTATATTTATATTAACTTTAATACTCTTAAGTATATATCGAATTAATATAAGAGAATTATATTCTAATTTATTAAATAAGCCTATTAAAGGCTAAGATTCTACTTTCTTATTAACTCGCTTCTTACCTTTATATTTAAGACGCTCTTCTTTCGAAGTAGCCTAGAATAGATATAGCTGATTTTAAAAAGAAAATCCTTAATCTATAGCTATCGAAGGCTATTATAAACTTATTTAAATAGAAACTTACGACGGGTAGAAAGAAATATTAAGATTTAGATTAATATTAGATTACTTTTACTAATATTAAGATATCTAAAATTACTATAATATAAATTACTATAATTAAATAAGTATTAATTAAGATCTCTTAAGTTACTTTTCTTATTATTATTAAGATATCGATATTAATACTAATACTAATACTAATACTTCTTTTATATAAGCTCGTTTATTAGACCCTAATTCTTTATCGAGAAAAGCTTTAGCAATTTTTATATTAGCGAAACGAGATCGATTTAGTCTCGCTATTTCGAACTGCACTAAATTAGAATAAAGAGAAATATAAGAATTTATAAAGCTTAAAGATATTACTTAACCCGATCCAGCAGAAGAAGAAGAAGAAGAAGAAGCTACGGAAGATTTCTGCGAAGGGATAGTCTCGTAGAGTTTAGAAGATCTATTAAACTTATCGAACCTAACAAAAGTAAAGTTTAACTATAAGTTATCCTCGAAAATAAGTATTCTTAGATATAATTATTCTTAAGTAGGTAGTAAAGTACTATTATAATTAGAAGAGATGTAATTCTTAATATTACACTTAATATATAGCTAATCGTCTTTCCTATAAGATCAATAAATTATATTATTAATATAAGGGTTTTTCGAAGTACTACACTCGAGTATATCTCTTAAGATAGATTAATAATTACGAAAGCGATTATCAGCTATAAAATTCGAAGGTTTACTCCTATTAGCGTTTCCTTTATTAAAATTCTAAGCTAAGATCGAAGCCGAAATCGAAGTAGAAGCCGAAACTTTATATAAAGAATAACGATACTCTAGAGATTAGAATTATATAAAATGTTAAGATCTCGCAAAAGCCTCTAGTAGCTACTTCGATGAATTTGTATAAAAGAATTAAGACTAATAGTATAAGGGCCTTAGAGCTTTAATAGCTTAATAAGAAACTAGTAAAAAAGCTATCTACTACTTTAATAAGTTTTATTTCATAAAAGATTTATAAAACTAAAGCTAATCAAATCTCGATTCTTTATTTAAAAGCTTCTAGATTTCGGCGTTAATACGTTATACTTCTTTTACGAGATTATAGATTATATATAAAGATCTATCGGACGATATTATACCTCTTATTACTTTCTTTTAAATCTCGTAATTATTTAATCTTTTAATAAAGGTACGGAGAATAATATCGAGTATAATAGATTTAAGGAGGCTAAAAGTAGCACTAAGAGTAGTAGCGGGTCTATTCTTAATCTTAACTCTCTATATTAAGTTAATAACACGCTTAAAGTAGAAAGTAAGAGATTCTTTAAAATATTAATATAGATTTATAATCTCGATATTAAACGAGATCGCACTTACTTCTATAGCTTTCGAGGAAAACTTCTTATAAAATATAGTCTAAAACTATTAGATTATTTACTAAGAATTAATATTCTCTATTTTAATAAGAAGTCAAATAGCTTCTAGATAACTTTCTAATTACTTGAAAGCATTATCGATAAAAAGTATATTAAGATATCTCAGATACTTGACTAAAGGAAAACGATCTTCTTTATCTTAATAATCCTTTATATCGAAGTCGAACTTTCGAAGTTACTTTAATATTAATATGCTAGTAATCTTCGAGAAGTTATTATATATAGTAAATATAGAGTAAGATATAATTGCTTTTATAGTATTGCTAGAAAGGATACTAGACTATATAAGAGCTTTAGACTAATTTAAAGAAAGCGTATTTCGATGAGATTCTAATAACGAGACTGTGAAATTCGTAGAACTATTATCGAGAGGAATTCTCGAGAAGTCTAAGGCGTTAAGACGGTAGTAATAGACTAATTCCTCGAGAAGATTTCTAATACTCGCTAGAATAATAGTGCTATAACTTACTTTCGTAGTAGTAAAAGAGTTCTAATAAGTAACGGTGACGGCTTAAAAATCGAGTTGGGTGATAGTAACTTCTTGAGATATTTACTAAAGGCTTCTTAAGTCTCTAGAAGTGATTTAATAGATATAAGAGGCTTTCTAGACTGAATGACTTAAGAAAGTACTTTCGTAGTGAGATTTTCAGTGAGGGATTTAGTGGAAAAATGAATAACGATGGATTACAGCCGGATAGGCTAAATGAGGATTATAAAAGATACGCAAGAATAATAGTAAAGATGATTCTACTTTAGGGTTATAAAAGATCCGAGCAGGGACCTTCAAAGAATAAGAATAATCAGGCTCGTGTGGGTAGAAGAGGATATAGATTCTATGGAAGCAGGATCCCGAGGATTCCCTAGGGATCTAGCCAAGCAAACTATACTATATAAAGCTAGAAAGAACGACCCCGCAGGAAGCACCTTCCGACTCTACTACGCGTACAGCCCCTACCCAGTAAGCGTACAGCCCCTATCTACTAGGCGTACAGCCCCCTAATCGTGTTAGCGGCCGCGCGGAAGCTAACAAGATCTAACCGGAAATGGTAAAGAGCCCGCATCTAGTCTCTGCCAAATGCCTTCACAGTAGGAGTAGTAGAACCAACTCCCACCCCACCGCCCGCCTACATCCCTCGCTCAATAGGCAAGGATCAGAGCGCATACCTACACCTACCTCTACACCTACCTCTACACTGCAAGCGTCACAGCGGGGGGGTTTGCGACCGCTGTAGCAGCCACCCCGACGACTAGGCATTACACGAGGAGGGCGGCGAGGTGGTGCTACACGAGGACAGCGAGGTGGTGCTACACGAGGACAGCGAGGTGATGCTACACGAGGACAGCGAGGTGGTACTACACAGGCCTACATGCAGGGTAATGAGGCTATGTTCAATACGTTTCAGATGTAGGAAGATCAGCTGGCCGATAGGTAGTGGACATTTGAGTATGATAGGCGTATTTTTAATAGCAAGCAGAGAGGGTAGCTTGCCAATCAGCTATCCAAAAAATTTTTTTTAATTATTCCTTTTTTTCTTTTTTAAATTTTCCTTTTTTTTTTTTTTTTTTGGGGGGGGGGGGGGGGGGGGCCCCCTCCCCCCCCCCCCCTCCCCCCAAAAATCTCGAAGAGACTAGATGCGGGTTCTTTACCGATTTCGGTTAGTGTCCGTTAGCTTATGCGGTTCTTTACCATTTTCGGTTAGTTTTTTTTTTTTTCCCCCCCCCCCTATTTTTTTTTGGGGGTTTTTTTTTTGTGGTTGGGGGTTTTTGTCTTTTTTGTGGGGGGTTTTCCCCTTTTGGAGGGGGGCTTTACGCGTAGTAGCTGCCTAATTAATAATTATAATAGAATTATTGTAATAGCTTTATTTCTACAATCTATAGCTTATTTTACTACGTAGGTACGTAACGAGACGAGATAGAACGAAGTTTAGAGTATTATATCCTATTCTAGAATGCATAATGGATGAGGTTGCTGGCGTAGCAGGGTTTATAGGTGATAGTGGGGTGAACTGCTGGAATGCTTGATGATGACGACGTCGATAAGGAGCTTATAGGTATCGTGGCTCTTGATTCTAATTCGCTAGTGAGAGCAGAGTGGTACAGTTGCAGATAGTCGGCCAGTCTGTTTAGAAAAGCTGCCAGGGTTGATAGGTCGCTGAAGCCTTCCGCAGCCGGCTTCTCTGCGGGGCAGGGGAGAAGGGTACTTGTACAAACGGCTCAATGGCCAAAGAGGGTGATAATACAAGCAAAAATGAAAGAATGATCACTTGAGGGCCACCTAGGATCTGGGCAAGACCTCCAGAAACCAAGAAGAGCCAGCCATGGGTGGGTAGAAGGATGGATTGTTCAGAAGTCTATGGTAGCTATCTACCTGCAAAAGCCTTCCAGGAAGGACCACCCCGAACTATGACTCCGAATTCAAAGACCCTGGCTGTGGAACGTTACCCAAGGCCCTGAGTTTCATGAGACTCGCGTCATAAGTTCAGTTCATTTCCGGCTATCAGATAGGCCCTTATATTGAATCACTACAATTAGCTCCGTCCGCTACCTCTAGGACCTGCCAATCGTAACGAATATCCTGAGATTGATTCTCATGATACTGTAATGATAGCTTGAGCGATTAGCTCGAGATTGCTTATTGCGAGTGCTAACATGCTTTGACCTGCACCGCTGAGACAGACTCTACCAGGGTATACTCTATATTGGGCGTGAGGTCTTTCAGGACTTTACCAAACCCTGGGACTAAACCACTTCGATAAAGGTTGATGAAGCTTAATCTATCTTGCCAAGGCAAATAATGCAAATGCGAATGTACCTGCGAAACAAAACTAAAGTATCTATCACATTATTCAATTTTTTTTCAACGGAGTAAGAAAGAATTGGTTGTTGATTTTGTGACAGAGCTTTGCCTCTTGTCCTTTCTCCTTTGATTAGAGTACAGCTGTGATTGCTACTACAGTACTCCAGCGAAGCGCCTGTCTTTACTCTCTCCTTTTCCCATAATGGCAGCTTCGGTGAACTTGACAACCCTGATCAAGCGGTATGCACGAACCCTTACTTGCTTGCCAACAGTCTTGCTCTGCCTTACTCTGCCTGCTAAATTACCCATTCCATCTCTGTCAAATCCACTCCACACCCCCGCCAAATGCCCTCCACTCTACCTGCAAAGTTGGCACTGACCATACTTGGTAGGCTCGAAGCTGCAACTTCGCGTTTGGAAGATCTAGTACCTACGATAACCGATCCTTCAGTCACGACAGATGCCGCCCAGCCTCTGTCCGGCCAGGGACCATCCGCAGAACGGGCTTTGGACCAGGCAAGATCGCCTTCCAGGCACATGGAAACACTACCTCCGGTCATTGATGATTTCGATGCTATAATCAATGGGCAAGTCAAGTCCTTCGTTAATATGAGCGAAGAGATTGGGGGGCTAGTTGCTGAGCAGGTACGTCCACCAAGACTTCCTCACCAACGAAGCATCTGGCTTGCTGACCCTCGCGTCACCAGTCTGCTGCTGTCCTTCGAGCCTTTGCTGCAGAGCGCAAGTTCCTTATTATCACCACCAAAGCCAGAAAGCCGGACATCCAGTCACCAGTCTATATGGAGATCTTGAAGGACTTGCAAGCGATGATGGGTGCTGTCAATGACATTCGAGAAGCCAATCGAGCATCGCCCCTTTTCACCCATCTGACAACTGTATCCGAAGGCATTGCTGTGCTCGCCTGGATAACCATTGACCCCAAACCCGCAGACCATGTGGCGGAAACACTCAGTAGCGTTCAATATCATGGGAACCGTGTGATCAAGGAGTATAAGGAGAGGTAAGTCATCGCCGTCGCACTCGATGCCCGATGTCAATTAATTTCTTCATCAGGGATCGGAGACATGTCGACTGGGTTAACGCCTTTTACGCCATTTTTAAATCCCTAATCGCGTACGTAAAACAGCATTACCCGTCAGGCGTGACATGGAACAACCAAAACGGCATTGATCCACAAGAAGCCCTCCACCAAGTTCAAACTGGCCAGACGTCCTCAAAAACCCCACCGCCATCTTCTGGCCCGGCACCGCCTCCACCACCTCCTCTGCCTTCCTTCGATGGCCCTCCACCTCCACCGCCAATGCCGCCGAACGGCGTCACTCCAACTTCCAGCTCCTCAGACATGGGTGCCGTCTTCGACCAAATATCTCGTGGCTCAGATGTGACCTCTCACCTCCGCAAGGTTGATCCGTCCATCCAAACCCACAAAAATCCCTCGCTCCGTGCCCAGGGCGCCAGCGCTCCGCCTGCTCCTAGCCGCTCTTCATCTCAAAGCTCTTCTCTCGGCAAATCGCCCATCCCTGGCAAAAAGCCTAAGCCAGAAAGTATGCGCGCAAAGAGGCCACCCCGAAAAGACCTTGAGGGCAACAAATGGCTCATCGAAAATTATGACAACCCTGGCCAAATGCTCGAGATTGAGGCTTCAATCTCGCACTCCATCCTCGTAACGCGCTGCACCAAAACTCCCATCCGTATCATCGGAAAGGCCAACGCTATCTCTCTCGACAACTGCACACAATGCTCGCTCGTCATAGATTCTTTAGTTAGTGCCGTCGATGTCATCAAAAGCCCTAAATTTGAAATGCAGGTTTTGGGTAAGCTGCCGACTATCATGCTAGACCAAGTCGATGGCGCGGCGATCTATTTGAGTAGAGATTCGCTCGGGACAGAGGTTTTCACGAGCAAGTGTACGGGCATCAACGTCAATTTGCCGGGACAGACAGAAGATGATGATTATGTCGAGAAGGCGCTGCCGGAGCAGGTCAAGAGTGTGGTGAGGAATGGTGCGCTCGTCAGCGAGATTGTTGAACATGCTGGATAGGAGATGAAATCTGGAATGAGAGGGGTAGGAAAAGCGCCAAAGATGATCTAGGTCTGGCTGGTGAGAAGAGAGCATGTAAGATTGAGATTGACAAGATCTTTGTAATCGATTACAATATTTCATGAGATGCTGCCATTCAATGGTAATTCCACATGGAGTTGATATCGAAGAGCAGCACTACACACTAGCGTACGTTATGAGTTCTTGCTCAGGCGAGCATGTCTATCAGTAGCTGGTTTTGTTCGTCTGGAAGTTGAATAGGTGAATAATCCTGACCCCGAACCGAGGGATAGTACAGGCAGCGTGATCAGAGGATCGTCTTCTTTTCCAGCATCTTGGTAAGAGATGTGAGCTTGGATTTCCTCCCAGGTCCGAATGTCATTCAAATGGGCCGATCACATTGCCGCAGCAAACAGCCGGAAGTTCACGAAAGACTGGCTGACAGACACGCTTAGGTGGGCCGAATGCAGGGCTACTTGCACTGCTCAAAAGCCCATTCTGACGCCATCGCTCCAACAAATGCTTGCTATGCTCCTACTGAAATGCCCAAATGCAGTTGAAAGAGCTGATTGGCCCTGATACGCCGGTCGTTGACCACATTCATTCACCATCTTCCTCATGGCAATTGCCCGTGAATACCCGGCAAATCCTGTGTACTGGCTGATCTCATATCAGGGTCAGGAATAGGGCTGCGCATTTCCTCGATTCCCAAGTTGACGTTGGGGGGCCCGCCAACTCCATCTGAATGACTGCGATCCATCGGCGCAGGCTCCGATATAGAAATAGCAGGATGATCCGGATGCGGTATATGCTCTTCCCCTTCCGGTCCATGGGCTTTGACGCCAGCTTCCGAATCGCTATCGCTTCTTTCTGCAGCCAGTGCTGTATTGCTGAGATCAGTCGTACTGCTGGCCTTACTCACATTAGTACTCGACGGGCTCTCAGTTCGCAGTCCTAGGTCCTTGCCTAGACTTTCGGCAGCGATTTTGAGGTTCGCGTTCTTCCAATCCGCGGCTTTGCTCTCTGGGACCGGCTGGCCGACGCTTGGCTCAGTGATGATCTTGGTGAGGCCTTCCTTGGTTTCTGGAATAGCTCGCCATACGACTGCTAGACGGTCAAGCGCGCGGGTACCTTTACGAGCCGACCCTTTGATGCCGTCCATTGCTTCCCAGTCAATTTCGAAGACACCGCTGTCAGGTAGGGTGTCCGCGCTAGGAGGATCGGCTGTGGCCCTGGAGGTAGTCCCGTAGTCAGGTTGAGAGGTAGAGGAGTTTTGAGATTCAAAGAACGCATTAAACCAGACATGTGCGACTGACGTGACCATTGTGAGGCCGTAGGTAGCCTTATTGCGGCGTTCGAAGTCGACGTTGATGTCGGATGTAGGAAGTACGATTGGGCGTTCAGGACGGAAGAGGACAGCATCCGCGCCCGGTTGGTGAGCTATTTTGGAGTAGACCGAGGATGAGTAGGAAGGATGGCTGGGGTCAGCTTGAAAGTTGGTCTCCTGGAGAGGGAGAGCTTTCTCGTTGAGATGATCCGAGACGCTTGCGGGATTGACCATCTTCTGCGACTCCCCATCCATGATCATCCTCTCTTTTCTGTCGAATGTGTGAAATGTCTTGATGACTCTACCTTCCTCCACGTAGCCCGCAACAGCCACTTTCACCCCGTCTCGGAGTCCCCATACGTGTACTTCGAGAATTTCGATTTGCCTCTCAATGTAGACCTTGCCATGTCTCGTCCACCAATCTACGTAACCGACCCACCGCAATTGGCTTGGTATACTGACTCCACTTCCGAATCCGCTCCTCATTCTCCTAGAGGTAAATCTCGTCAGTGCTTCCTCAATGGTCCATCCTTCCTCGCTGATCAGGTAGCTACAAGCCGAGGTCCCACTCCTGCCTTTTCCAGCTTTGCAATGTACTACAATCGTTCTCCCCTCTTCCGACTCGGGACCTTTCAGCCACTCTCGCATACTAGCCACGATGTTGGGTATCAGAGCGAAAGGGGGAGGATGATGATCTGGCCATGGAAAATGTCTTATTCGATTGTAGACCTCGCTGTCCGGATAGCCTGTACCTTCGGCACGAAACTCCCATATCGCCCACTTGTTGCCATGTTTGTAGTCAAGAAATCTAACAAGAGCGTCGGTTGGGTTGCGGTAAGCGCGTTGGGGATAAGTCGAAGATGGGCCAGAGGTGGCGATGACTGACCGGGTATCAGAGGCTGAAGAGTGAAGGGTAGGTAAGATGGTTTACTATTGTCTGTAACGTAGCAAAGGTCCAAGCCTGCCTCGGGATGGCGTGAACGAGGACCTGCTACAATTGATCGGAGAAGAGAAGCCTGAGGGTCTTAATACAAATGACATTCGGGATGCATCTCATTCTCCAGTGGACATACCATGGTTCTAAGGATTTCCGCTTGTTTGGCTTACTGCACTTGCACTGGCAATCCCTTTGTACGTGTAGGTAGGTCTTGCACAAGAAAATAGCAAAAGATTCCCTATATTTTTTCTTCTCTTTTTTTTCTTCTCTTTCTTCCGATTTACTTCCCACGCTCAGCAATTGGGCCCAAGTTCATTCTCATTGTAAAAACACCGAGTGTTTGGTAAGATGCTTAAGTTCCGCAGGTGCAACTATTTACGCACGAAGCCTGCATGATTTAAGCTCATCGGTGCGTCACTCACCGAGATGCCGATTTGATCGACGCAGGGATATTTACCTCAGTCGTGATAACTTTGGTGCAAGGGATGATGTCCTTCAAAAACTCATAGAAACTGTTCATATATACAGCAATGACTCGGACGGTCCGCACGACTCCCAAACCATTACCAACACCCCTCGCTATGTCCGCTGCCCCAAATGAACCTACTCCCTCCCCTCTTCCTATCCGCCCCAAGGAGGAGGCTCATCTTTTCAAAGAGGAGGGACGAAAGAAAGATGGAAGGGAAGAGTAAGCATTTCAGGGGGTCTTTAATGATCTGTCTCGAGCTCTGACAACCAGATCAACGACAGGAAAGTGACTAGTCGTCCACATCCAAAACCAACCTTTCCAACCCCAAAGCTCCGCCTCTCTACCCTTGACCTTGATCACCCTGGTTCCAATGTCTTTTTCAGCAATACGAACCCTTCCAAAGCTCTTTCCGAGGCAGTCGACGCCGTCCTTTCTATTCTCTATCAACCCACCAAAACCAACGATCATATCCCTGCGTGCCGCTCCGTGACCCTCTGTCTCCATGCTATGGGCGGTGTCGCATATACAACGGGCTCAGATTTAGACGGAGACCACAAAGAAATCCACTTTTCTCTGGACTATATCAATGGAATTCCATCTGCGCGACAGAAAGACGAGGTACAAGGGGTGCTTGTACACGAAATGGTCCATTGCTGGCAATGGAACGCCGTGGGAACCGCACCTGGCGGGCTAATCGAAGGCATTGCTGATTTTGTAAGGTTGAAGGCTGGCTTAAGCCCACCACATTGGAAGAAGGAAGGAGGTGGGCAGTGGGATGCTGGATACCAGCATACAGGATATTTCTTGGAATGGATAGAAAGTACTTGTGGCCGAGGCAGTGTGAGAAAGATTAATCACGCATTGAAGGACAAGAAATACGCAGAGGATGACTTTTGGGAGCAACTGTTCGGCAAAAACGTTAGTCTTCTGTGGAAAGAGTATGAAGGAAGCCTAGACGAGGAACAGAAAATGACGAAAAAGGTGGAGAGCAGCGCGGAAAGTCACGAGAAGGATAGGAAAGATAATGCTGAAATGAAAGAGAAGGGCAGGAAAGACGGTCGCTCCGAGGGAGACGAGTCTGTCGAAAAGGACAAGCCAAACGACAACCTTGCATGAACTGGAATTGATGATATCGAGCAAGACCAGGTGTATGAGTGATGAGATGATCTCCTCTCCATTAGCCCTCGTTGTTCCCCACTCATAGACTCAACATCCTACAAAACGCTTCAGTCCCAGCCGCTCTTGATCCGCTTGTCAAAGATCGGGTATTAGCTGAGTATGGACTCCCATGGCTGAGCAGGATGGATCTGCTGCTAGTCAACTCGATTCTAGAAGCATCAGGCGAGATGCAAGTTCCAAATTTCTTCAGACTCACCTTCTCCAGATGGATCCAATGTAGCTGTGCCTCGTTGGTCTTCCAATTCTAGCAGCATCTCGAAATGATGGTGTATTGCAACTGTACGTTTCTACTACTTTTAATCCGAGTTCATTCGGTGAACGAGCTTTATCAATCATACTCGTAAAGGTTAAAAGGTCCATGGCCGTCGAATCGTGGTAGTCTAGGTTCGAAATCTTGTGTGACCGAGTAGATTTAATAGTGGCGTTAGCTTTTCACCTGGATTCATAACGATATAAGAGATCCCCAGGAACACAGGTAAAACTTGTTGAATGATTCACATAATCTTGAAACATTTCCTGATGTCGGAACCTGCCTTCCAAAGCTTGTCCAGCCTATGACTCGCTCATAGGGGCAAAACTCCAGAAGACAGGTTCTTAGGACCGCTTTTGATAGCTAGGGCTTGTATCCTATTCCTACTGTACAGATTACATTCGGTTCATTGTAAGACTTAATCCAGCATCAACTATGAGACCCTGGCCATTGATGTAGCTGGCCGAGGCACTGGACAGAAAGACAATCACGTCACCAACTTCTTCTGGTACAGCCATTCTCCCGACAGGTGAGACGGCTTGAATGATACCTTTGAGCTCAGGCTGCTTGTCGAAGTCTGCGGCCATCATCGCCGTATCGACCCACGCAGGACAGATGGCATTGACCCTGATGTGGTGAGCTGTATTGTCAAGCGCTGCGTCTCTGATCAGAAAGATCATCCCCAAAGACAACATTCGAGACTTACCAGCCGTTTTCGTGATGCCCATCACTGCATGTTTCGAGGCTGCGTATGGAAGTTTGCCACGAGCCCCAATGAAGGACATGACGGAAGTAATGTTGATGATGGACCCTCGACCAAGAGATCGCTGCCCGTGACGGCCTCGATACATGAGAGGCTCTTGCACTGCCATGGCTTTTGAGACAGCGCGTACACACAGCATTGTCCCTCGCGTGTTGATTTCTGCAAGCTTATCAAACTCCTCGACGGACGCATCCGCAGTCGGTGCGTTTGAATCTGTGCCTACCTGAACATGTCCATCCGCATCAGCTTCAGATATCGTGAACATTGTTCCTTAACACGGGGGTGTTACCCCAGCGCAATTGACACTGTAGTCGATCCTGCCAAATTCCTTGATGGCAGCATCGACCATGGACTGCACGCTCGCTGGATCTGTGACATCGAGATGGACGACGAGGTAACGGTAGGCTGACTGGATGGCTACAGTTTTGCTCTGTTCAGCTGCTTCTCGAGCACCATTGTCGTTCATATCAGCGAAGATGATGCCATTTGCCCCGGCCTCAGCAAAAGCAAAAGCAGCCTCACGCCCGATGCCACCAGCAGCCTAGATGCAAGCGAAGATGAGTGCTCGATAGTATGAAGCGTATAGCTTATGAGGATGCACGCACCCCCGTGATTAGTGCAACGCCATTCACGCCCTTGACGGCCATGTCGTCGTCTGTCAATGGCTGGGACACCGGGCAAAAATGGAGTGAAAGCTTTGAGGATGGTCAGATGCAGGCGAAGACTGGATTATGTCCAGATGTTGCTTGAGTGAGATAATGGGTGGAAAGCGGAAGAAAGTAGAAATGTTGGGTTACAATGAAAAGTGCCTCAAAACGCAGCTAGGCAAACAGCCTTAGACTAGGAGTGGACCTCGACCGTTTGAAAAGCGTTGGGAATATGTGCGGTGCCGCAAGAGGTCTTGCAGCTCCGTTGTTAATGGTTGTAAATCTATGGAGGCTGCAACCATAATAAGGGAGTTAGCGTCAGAGCTTTAGCGCCAAGTAAGCTGACATACACATAGGTACAATGCTGATGGAACGGACGATGCCGACGGTAAGGGACCTCATGGGCAGTATTCGACACCATTAAACAAGCCTGATACATTTATAGATCACAGATTTACAGTACGAGTATGGTAGGTAATTACATACCTGACATCGTGTATCCAAAATCGTTGATTGGAGTGTTCCCCCCAGCTACGATTGTATCGACTAACAGTATTAGTACTAAGGTACCTCACAATACTGTGTGCGCTTCTGCAGGCACTCCCGTAAGGTATTGGACGAGGCAGAAATTTCCTTGGGAGAATCATGCCCCCACACTACTTTAGGTACTCTAGTTCGGGTACGGTACGTACCGGAACGATGGTAGTCTAATCCAGTGTATGCAAGGCGGAGAAAATGCTCGAAGATTTCTCCGAAAAAATCTCCTATTACCCTCTAGTAGCCAACGGATCCCGAAACACCACCTTACGAATCTTTATCTCAAATACCAGTGTACCACCCTCTCATGTTTTGCTTAGTGCTAACTTGCTTCGACACCCTCTGAAGCGTGCACGAGTCTGACGTACAGTAAGCCGAGCTCGGCCGCCCGGGATGATTGATAATTGAGATATGACGAGGCGAGGAGGGTATTTCAGGCATAGTCTACATGCACGACACGGATCCTACGCACGAAAGGGAAAGCAGCGGACATTAGGCGCCGTAGCTACCTGAATTATGGGGAAAGCTTTGCGAGCCGTAATTCTTTGGTTCTTGCTTACCCCCTACAATATAGGTACTCCCTACTTCTACAGCCTTAGCCTAACAATGTGTTGTGCCATCCATACATCTCTCATTTAATTCTGTCTGTCATTTACGACGATGACGCTGGCTGATCCTGAGCTTACCGCCCTTTGAATCACTCAGCCTTTCAGCCTGCTCAAGAAAAATTGCGGACATCTCGGCCACCAGCTCATGCGCGGCCCCGAGTCAGCAGCCACCAGCTGTGCACGGCCCGGAGATCAGTTGCATTTTTTGGTTGATACCAATGTATCTGTAAAAGGCCAAGATACATCTCCGGTCATGCTCCTCGGGTATACTATCAAAGCTGAAGGATGCGAATCGACTCTCGTCATTCCTTGGTACTGGTGGTACGGTAATGTAATGCCCTAGTAAAGCTGGCTCCTTTTGTTTTTATAATGATAGTCTCGACCTTCTCTCTCTATTCAATACTCTTCCCATCTGCTAAATTTCGTCCTACCAGTTTGATAAGCAATGCTCATGCTCCTCAAAGCTTCAAATTTGCAAAATTGATTCCAAGACGCGTGCCCCTGTCTAGACATGAATGCAGCTCCATCCGAGGACCGTGGCCCCGCGGCCAAAAAATTGTACATTGCCATGATCATCGTCCCTTTCATCTGTGTGGGGATCCGTCTTTGGTCGCGGGGAGTTGTGCTCGGATCTTGGTCTCGTTCGTCAAAAAGGGCGAAATTTTGGTGGGAGTACGTATTTTGGGAGACCATATTTCACTTGCTGGAATCAAGTTTGAGTCTTGCGATGTGGATTGGGAAATTTTACTTTCGCAGCGTGTTCCAAGGCTCGACAAAACCTGTCAAATAGGCAATGCTGACTGCGAAATCCAGCGACTGGTTAGCAGTGGCGACCTTGGTCAGTATCTCCATCTCAAAAGCGGACTAGAATGGCTGAATGTGTAAGCCTTTCATCGTTGCGCAAAACGTGACAGGAGTATACTGGACAACAATCGGACTGGGGAAACACATAAGTCTAGTCAGCCCGGACAACATCGTCAAAGGACTCTTATTGCTCTACGCCGATTATCCTCTCTACGATACCGCAATATCGCTCCCTAGATTCTCGGCGCTCTTGTTCTACGCTCGCGTATTCAACGCCCACAGCAATCGGCTCTTGCGGACTGTACTCTGGACTACTGCTGCCTTGAACATGGCCTGGTTGATCTTTGCTATAGTTTCATCCATATTCCAGTGCACCCCCATCGAAAAGGTTTGGAAACCAAGTATCCAGGGCCACTGTATCAATACCTATGATTGGTGGATGAGCAGCGCTATTTCCAGTGTTATCATCGATCTCATCATCCTGCTCATACCTTTGCCGATTCTGTGGAAACTACAACTCCCGCCACTTCGAAAATATCTTCTTCTTGGCGTGTTTGTCTGTGGCTATTGGTAGGCATCCCTATCGCAGTCTAAAATTTAATGCTGACCTACTGCCAGCGTGATAGTCATCTCAATTGGACGGCTCGTAGCTGACATCAAAGCTGGTCCTGCTCTGGTCGAAGATTTCACATGTAATTCCACAGCGTCTTGATAGTCTCACCAAGAGTGTTCGCTGACCTATGATCATCAATAGACAACGTTGTTCCCATCACATATTGGTTGTCCTTGGAAGCGCCGGTGTCCATTGTTAGCATATGTCTACCGAGCATTTTCTCTTTCATCAAAAGAGGCATCCAAGGCGGCCCCTACTCTTTGCTCACATCGAAAAACGAAGCCTCCCTCCACTTCAATGAGCAGCGAGGCGACATAACGGCGTATCAAGGCGAGGGACTCGGCGGGCTTCACGGCGGAGAAACATCCATTGAAAGGCTATACATAAACGAGAGGGCCAATCAACACAGTGCCACAGCTTTCAAATCTCACTCCTCGGAAAGCTCTCAGAAGGACGCGGAAGAGCTTGCAATGGATGCTATTCGGGTTCGGCAAGATTTAAATGTCAGCGTGCAGTAATAAGACTGAGACCTGTGAAAGTGACAAGTCGAATGTTAGGTCGGATCACAATTTGGTCTAGGTCATACATCAGTAGCTTGCTTGTCGCTGGCGCAGGCTCGGATTTCCATAGCCGTTAGGGGTTTTCTCCCTATTCTCAGGACAAGACATCTGAGAAAATCTTATCTGCGGAGTGTGATGAGTAGTCCTGAAGGGCTCAAACCGTTCATCCTGGAGAGCCAACGCGAAGTTACAAATAAGCGGGCCGCGTAATCGTGTGGGTCCTGATGGTTCCAGATGACAGCCTCGACAAATCGAGACGCCTTAACGGCTTTAACATTGATTTCATGGAATACTGACTAGTCTAGAGTGTTAATACCTTGAAATTTTTCACTAGCTCTTTTTGTTTCAACTCGTCCATATCACTCAATTCTCCGATACGTCAACCCATATTCCCCCTGCGGGCCCTGCGGGGAGACTCGGCTGCAGCATGTAATCGATAGCGTGGACCCTCACAGCCAGTCGGGGTATGTTCTGATCAGTGAGATCCCTATCCGTGAAGTGGGGCACATGCACGTCGATCCTACGGCGACAGTGGCGGTAAGGCATCGGATTGGAGTATTCATCCTAGCCTATACCTGCAGAGGGCGCTCGGGCTAGTTCAAGGAAATGTAGGTGTGCTTTCAATCATGAATGCTCCCATAAGATGTGCACTACCCCAGTGGCCACGTATATGAACGCGTTAGATAGAGACGTGATAGTTATTCACCCATTCGAGATAGCCTGTCTATTCTTTCGCCATTCCCTCTAAGATCCATCGATAGAGTGCTCATGGCGCCTGATAGCAAAGAGCTGAGCGGGGGCAACCTTGTGCGTAATGATGTATCACACAAGGATGTGCCATGACTGACCGAGTGATTAGGAGAAGGTCTCTACCAAGGGACACCAAGGCAGTCAGTACGAGCCGATCGCTATCGTTGGAATGGGTATACTACGTAAACCTCTTCAGCTGGCTCACTGCTAATCATTTCAAGGGTGTCATCTTCCGGGCGACGTCTCATCTCCATCTGACCTCTGGGACTTTCTGCTTCAGGGTCGCTCGGGTCATTCAAAGATGCCTCAGTCTCGTTTCAATGCCGAAGGGTTCTATCACCCCGATTCGAACCATCCGAACAGCATAAATGCAACCGGAGGCTACTTCCTAACCGAAGACATTCGATCCTTCGACAACAGCTTCTTCGGAATTAACAACTTGGAGGCTAAGTACATGGATCCACAGCAGCGCAAGCTTCTGGAAGTGGTACACGAATGCTTCGAGAATGCAGGTCTACCCATGGAAAAGCGCTTGGGCGCCAACGTGGGCTGTTACGTTGCCAACTTCACTTCCGATCACCAACTGTCGCAGGTGAAAGACCCTGATTCCTTTCATCGATATAGTGCTACTGGCATGGGAATTACGATCCTTGCCAACCGTATAAGTCATGTTTTTGACCTGCGAGGTCCAAGTATGGTGCTTGATACTGCATGCTCTTCATCGTTGTACGCTTTACACACAGCGTGTACTGCCCTAAATGCTGGCGAGTGTGACGGGGCCATCGTTGCCGGCGCAAATCTGATTCAGTCGCCTGAGGTCCATATTGCAACTGTCAAGACGGGCGTCCTCTCAGGAACTTCGCAGTGCCACACATTCGATAAATCAGCTGATGGATACGGGCGTGCCGAGGGTGTCGGTGCACTCTTCTTGAAAAGACTGAGTGATGCCGTCCGAGACTCAGACCCAATACGTTCTGTTATTCGAGGCACCGCTGCCAACAGGTGAACACTCACAGTGCTTTATCTCTCAGTCAAACACGCCTGAAGCCCTTTCGTTCTTCGGACAATAACGCTGACATTACTTGAATATCACAGCAACGGCAAAACCAACGGTATAACGCTTCCAAGCGCTGTAGGACAAGAGGCCGTCATTCGGAAAGCATACGTCAGAGCTGGCCTGGACCTGGATGAAACAGATTACGTCGAGGTATATCACCGAGCGTAGCCTTCGGCCAAGGTCATGCTGATGTCCGGGGACCGTAATCTTGGGCTCGACTTGTGCTGACTTCCTGAATCGTACTAGGCTCACGGGACTGGAACGCCTGTCGGAGATCCAATTGAGATAGACGCTTTATCACGCGTGTTTCACCATCGAAGTGGGCGGAGAACCCTAGTCGGCTCATTAAAGCCAAATCTGGGCCACAGTGAAGCTGTAAGCGGGATATCTAGTGTCATGAAGGTAACGCTGGCACTTGAGAATGGGCTCATACCACGCACGATCGGAGTCACCGACGTGAATTCTGAGCTCCGCGTAGATGAGCGAAACATCAAGATAGTCACGGAACCGACTCCTTGGCCGGAAAGCACGGCTCGGAGAGCCAGCATCAACTCTTTCGGATACGGTGGCGCTAACGCGCATGTAATTCTGGAAGCTGCTAATGCTCACGTTCCCGATGCTCCTCAGAACTCGAATCCTCAGTGCCATTCTCTTGGAACAGCAGTATTACTGCCACTGTCCGCACACAGTCGACTGTCTTTGAACGAATTTGTAGAAAATCTCGCATCTTCCAACATTGGGATTCATCGTCTCGAGGACCTTGCTTTTACGTTAAGCTGTCGCCGTTCACATTTATCCTCACGTGGATATCTTCTCGTCACTCGAGATACTATATCCAATGACTTACACCCCAGTAGATTGCAAACGTTAGAAGCTGCTAAAGAGCCCCTTAGACTCCCTCTTGCTTTTGTTTTCACCGGACAAGGAGCACAGTGGGCTACGATGGGAAGTCATCTCCTTGAAAGGTTCTCTACTTTTCGCCGTACGATTCAAGAGCTGGATACTTCCCTTGCCGGTCTTTCCAATCCACCTTCTTGGACAATCGAACGTGAGCGTTAGGGCATCGTTTGACTTTGACAACTGACTCATTTCATTAAGGAGCGATACGGGAACCGGAGGTGTCCAGTATGATACACGTTGTGTCACACTCTCAGCCTGTCTGTACTGCGATCCAGATAGGATTGGTAAATCTGCTAAAGGAATGGGGGATACTTCCACAAGCCGTCATCGGGCACTCCTCGGGTACTCTTGCTGATCAACTCTACGAAGACTGCACTGACACCGGATTCTGTACAGGAGAAATAGCGGCCACTTTTGCAGCTGGACACATCACGGCGGCCGAAGCCATCGCTGTTGCTTATCACCGTGGGCAAATCTTGTTGAGATCTCCATGCAGTGGCGCAATGATGGCGGTGGGTCTAGAAAGCAGTTCTGCTTTCAAGATATTGTGCGACACTGGATATCAAGATAAGCTCGCCATTGCGTGCGTGAATTCACCCGAGAACGTTACAGTCAGCGGTGACGAAGAGGCCGTCGACGCCCTTGCTGCTTACTGTCAGGAACAAAACATATTCACAAGGAAATTGAAGACAGATGGAAGGGCTTATCATTCCAAGCACATGTCCACCCTTGGCCCAGATTACGAGAACATGATATCAGAAACAACTTTTCAAACTGAGTCATGTCAGTCAAAGTCGGCACAAATTCCAATGATATCGTCCATAACGAGCAGACTTGTTGAGCCCAATCAAACGAGGACCGCCAACTATTGGCGCCAAAATCTCGAATCGCCTGTTGATTTCTGTGGTGCGCTGAAAGTGCTGTTCTTGGACCATAAGTATCACATCATCGAAATTGGACCTCATCCGGCCCTGAGGCTCCCTATTGCTCAGACGCAGAAGACGCTAGGCATTGAGGAAAGTCACTGTCTTTACTCATCGACTCTTTTTCGGGGCGTCAACTCGGTCAACAGCATGCTTCAGCTCGCTGGATCCCTTTTCCTGCGTGAACATGAGGTCAACATTGAAAGAATAAATCGCACAAATTCCGCATCGAGCGAACCCCCACGGCACGTTCTACACAGCTTGCCAAACCAGAAGTGGGTCTACGGCCCGCTGCTATGGCACGAGTCACGCATTAGCCGAGAGTCTCGCAGTCGTCAGAATCCACGTCATGAGCTCCTTGGGACACGGCTGCCCGGGGATAACGGGAAGACAATGACTTGGAGGAACTTACTAAAAATCAAGGACGTGCCATGGCTCGGAGACCATAAACTCGGTCAGACAGTCGTATTTCCTGCTGCGGGGTACTTAGCCATCGCTGTTGAAGCACTCCATCAAGCGCTTGGGCCTGACAGGCATTTTGGTCCCGTACTCACCTTTCGCCAGGTGAACTTTGTCAAGGCACTGGCAATGCTAGACGAGGGCTCGGATGTGGAGATGCTTACTGAGTTGAGACCGCTGCAGATTTCCAGCACCACAACTTCAAAGGTGTGGTGGCAGTTCGAAACGAGTTCGCATGACGGCCATACTCCGACGACGCATGCGAATGGCTATCTTGGCCTTGAAATGACCTCCCAATTTATTTCGCCTACCCTGAACTTCTCCACTGCCTCGATGGAGTGGCAACCCATGCGGAATTGGTACGAAAAGATGCCAACTTGCGACATAAATCCTGGTTCCTCTTTCCACTCTTTGGCTGAGATAATGGTCGACAGAATGAGAACTGCGCGTCAGACAGTGGCCAAGACGATTTCGAGATCAGAAGCTCTCCCCAGCCCTGGCGGGTGTCCTCACTATTTCATTCATCCCACTACTATTGATGCATGCCTACAGACAGCGTGGATCGCTAGCACAGCTGGATTGATCGAGGATTTGAAGGGATTAGTTCCAGTGTCCATAGGATCCATCAAGATGGCCACATCTATAGATCGTTTTCCGCCGGGGGCGCGCATTATTCGCGGTGTCTCCGAGCCTGTTGGGTTTCAATCGGCCAGATTTTCGTCAGAGCTGTACGACTCGGAGGGCAATGTCCACCTCCAGATGCAAGGCATGCGAGCCGTTCCGTACCAAGAAGGCGCGACTCAGACTGTTTTGTCCGGAGAGCGCTATCCTATGCTTCGAGTCCTTTGGAAGCCAGATCTGTCGTTACTAAAGGCAGACGACTCAACAGTTTTGGAGACTTGCGCTGATAAGCTTCCTCTCATTCAGAAGATGTTTTCGGATACTGATACAAGGACCGTTGCAGGAGTTTTGGATCTTCTGGCTCATAAGAATCCAGATATGAAAATTCTGATGCTTGGCAAATACAGTAAAGAGGTCACTTCAAGCTTCCTGGAGATGCTCCACGCAAATACTTCTTTGAGGAGGTTTGGTTCTTTTACTTGGGCTTCCTTGACGGTCTCAGGGCAATTAGTCTGTGAGGACAGCAAAGAAAACGTCAATCATCGATACAGCATTGACGCTGCCGCAATTCAACAAGGAGCACTGTTCGACGCCATCGTCATGCCAACTGTAAGTTTTCAATGCTGGTCAAAACACTTTCATCTAACTGATGGTGGGCAAGACTGCATGCATAAAACCCTGTCTCGAGGACAACTTAGAGAAACTTCTTGGCTATCTGGCGGATTCTGGAAGCTTGCTCTTCGTGGCTGACCCTGCAATGACTGCACAAAAAGTGCCTAGTGGTTTTTCGAAGATACTAGCACCCGTGAGAGACTCGAAGAATAAAGTAGTCACTCTCACTCGAGCTCGTCGTTATGAAGGGCCTAAAATAATTGCGCGTTCCACGACCGTAATACTGGTATGTACTTCTTTCTCTTGGAGCAATTTTTGTCTGAATCCTTCAATCAATTTATTTGTTCTGCGCTCACATGCTCACCCATCCTAGATTGGACATATACAGGATAGTGCCTTTAATGACGCGCTGAAGACAAGTATCTCGAGCACTCATGGTTATGAGGTTGTACGCGTGTCCTTATCTGACATCGCCGAAGCGACGTTGCCGGCAAAATCAATTGTCGTCTCCACGATTGAACTTCGGAGGCCGATTGTGGGTACTATGAGTGCAGCTGATCTAGATTGCCTTAAGCTTCTAGTGGAAAAGGCATCAATTATCTTGTGGGTCTCGGGTGGTAATCTGTACAATGCCGAGCGCCCGGATTTTGCACCGGTATTTGGACTTTCACGATCCGTACTGCTGGAACTACCATCGATCAAATTCGTCGTTCTTGACATTGATACTACACGTGAGGAGCTGAGGTCAGCAGAGAGTAATATCCCAATGCTGTTGGAGCAGGCGATTCATAATCCTAGAATGGACCTCGAATACTTACAGCACATGGGCATCCTGCACGTTAGCAGATTCATCCCGGACCATTCCATGAGTCGCCGATTTCGGGAGAAGCAGGACGAAGAGGCTGTAGACCTACTGCTGAAAGACGTGGGGGTTTGCCAACTATCGATCAAGCACTTGGGCCAATTGGATACAATTCAATTTGTCACCAGTCCAGAGCAAAACAGCCCTTTGGAGGCAGATTTCGTTGAGGTACAAGCAAAGATCTTGGGCCTTAATGCAAAGGTAATTTTTCAACACATTGGAGATTGCTGTTGTGCTCACGTTTAGAAGGATGTCCATGTGATGTCCGGCCGCATTGACACGAAGAATGGAACATGCTCAGCAGAGATTGCCGGCATCGTCAGAAGGGTTGGCTCGCAAGTAACAAAGTTTGCGGCTGGAGATCGAGTGGTTGTCATGGCTCCTAACCACTTCGCTACTGTCGAGAAAGTGCCAGAGTGGGCTTGCTGCAAGCTGCGCGATAATGAAAACCTTGCCGTCCGTCTCATTCATGCACAAAGTATTTGATTCTCATACCAGCTGACTTCTGTGCTCTAGTTGATGGCAACCATCCCTGGCGTATTTTCCACGGCTTTGTATGCTTTGCATCACCGCGCACGTCTCGAGCATGGGGAGGTAGGCTAAGAACTTACGTTTTTGCACGTCATGTTTTAACGAGCGTCAGTCCATCCTGATCCATTCAGCAGCGAGTGGGGTAGGGATCGCAGCAATTCAGATTGCACAGCTTCGCGGTGCCAAGGCATGTCCTCAATCAGAATCCTCGCGATGAAGCTAATTTCTCAAGATCTTTGCTACTGTGAGCACGACGGAGAAGAAGCGATTCCTGATCGAAACCTTCGGTCTTGATGAGGATCATATCTTCTCATCTCGAGATTCCAGTTTCCTTCCTGCGGTCTTGCGTGCCACCTTTGGGCGTGGAGTAGACGTTGTGCTCAATTTCCTTACCGGCGACCTTTTACACGACAGCTGGCGCGCCTGCGCAGACTTCGGTCGCTTTGTAGAGATCGGGAAGCGAGACATCCTGGATGGCGGTAGACTGGACATGGAGATATTTGAACGTGGAATCACCTTCACCGCTTTCGACCTTTCTGCTTTATATTATTCTACTAGCCTCAGTCGTCGGGCTATATGGCAAGCGTAAGCTCAGGGACCTTAAGTCGTATTCACACTCCAGCTGACGTCTTCAAAAGCCTGTTACACGAGAGTGTAGAGCTTTACAGGTATGGAAGAATCAAGTTTTTTCCGCCGCCTCAAATATTCGACATTTCGGACGTTGTCAAAGCTTTTCGAGCTGTTTCGCTCAGTTCCCGGATTGGCAAGATCGCTGTTTCCTTGGAAAATCCTGATAGCGTGATACCAGTAAGTGGTTTTCCATGACGTAATTTTATGTTTGCTCACACCACCAGTTTGTACGTCCCAGATACGATACAAGACTGGATCCAAACAAAAGCTATTTTCTTGTTGGATGCCTCGGCGGCCTGGGCAGAAGCTTGACCAGATGGATGTTTGGCCGAGGCGCGCGCAGCTTCGTTTTCTTAGGGCGCTCAGGCACTGAGAAACGTGAGGCTATAGACCTAGTTGAAGATCTTCGCAAGAGTGGCGCACAAGTCCGTGTGGTCTGTGGCGATGTGACCGTCTACAAAGACGTTGAACATGCCATTGCCCAAATACCTGGAACCATCGGAGGAGTTGTCCAGGCTGCAATGGGACTCGATGTAAGTCAAATTCTCGTGATAGCTGGATTCAATTGTTGATCGGAAACCAGGAGGCATTGTTTGCTACAATGTCAAGTGAAAAATGGCGAAAAGGTGTCGATCCGAAGATTCAGGGAACTTGGAATATTCATAACGCACTCAAGGAGAAGGACGGCCACCTTGACTTCTTCATATTGACGAGCTCAATCTCAGGAAGTGTAGGAACCGCCACGGAGAGTAATTATTGTGCCGCCAACGCATTTATGGACACTTTCGCCAGATATCGACGGAGCCTGGGTCTGCCTGCGATATCAATTGGGTTGGGGATGATTTCTGAGGTCGGCTATCTGCATGAGCATCCCGATATTGAAGCCTTGCTCTTGCGCAAAGGGCTTCGGGCCATCACCGAGAGCGAGTTGTTGCAAATCATGGATATTGCTCTAACAGAAAAATTTCTTAGCAACCAGTCGTATGGCAGCGAGCATTTTATACAAGGCCATGTTCTTACCGGCCTCGAGGCGCAAGGCTTGCAGGACATTCGAAGGAAAGGTTTCGAAGGGGGGAGCCATGTTCTGGACGACCGACGCACTTCAATAATGGCCCGAGCTCTTTCTGATGGTAGCAGCGGAGGCATGAGCAGTGTCATCCAAGAGGGTCCGGGCAGTGGCCACCTGCCAAAGTCCATCGCTGAAGCTCTTGCTGCGGATAAGATCGACGGCGGCGCTCTCACTAGAGCTCTCGAATCAATCGTGGGGCAGAACATCAGCAACTTGCTCTTGTTGTCGGCCAACCAGCTCAATGCCAAGAGCTATCTGTCCAAATTTGGGCTAAATTCTGTGTTGGCGGCAGAGTTCAGGTATCATCTACCGTGTCTTTGAAGTCGATGTCTTCTTTATAATGCTTTTGTCTAAGACTACGACTGTCGCCTGTCTTGCGAAGCTCAAAGCAGAAGGATTGCAGAATTCACAGAGCTAGCTCCGAGCCTGTGAAGGAGGTGCATGCGGGTAAATGAAGGCTATGTGTGTGATAGGGAACCTAGCAATTGCTAGAAGGTACCTTAAGTACTGTCGAAGTTTCGGTCTATCAATCTTAGCATCCTGCTTTTTTCTAGCTACTCAATTTGTAACTTGCCAAATTGGGCTTAGAAGTCATGAATTTCACATTCTGCAAGTCGGTCTTCCTCATTGATAGAGCTGTTAGTAACGCCGGCAAATCCAGGAACGGACCACTCCGAAATTGTCGATGCTTTCTCGGCTTGTAGCGCATAAGAATTGAAAGAGACACTTGATAGTGGCAAGGTAATCGTTGGCTTCGCCCTGTCATTTCCAATGTCCTCAGTCTTGGCTTTGGGCTCATTTCAGGCGCCATACCGAGCAAACGAGGCCTAAACGTCGCTTTAAAGTGTATGTAGGAGGTATGATTAGTGATATTCCCTGAGCAAATATGGGAGGGAGTTTCGATAACGCTAACAAAGGGGATGGGCTGAGCGGCAACGAGCCCAGGGGACAGAATTGGAGGCGAATTGAATCGTTCTCAACGGTACCCCACCCCGAGCCATCTTCAGAAAGGTGGAAAGACGGTGGGAGAGATTTGGATACGAGTAGGTAAGGTAGGAAGGGCGAGCCTAAGGTAATGTAAGGTAGGAGTACCTTACATACCCGTCTCTGAAGTAAGAGAATGCAGAGACAAGGCGCCCACTAAGGTAGGTACTCTTACGAATTAAGGTACTCTTTAGAAGTAGAGTACCTGAGGTACCTTTCTTAGAGTACCTTACCTTACCTTAGCCTCTGCGTTTTCGCTGGGGTGCGAATTGCGAAACCTCGGGCTTCCTGAAAGCGGACACTAAAAGCGGACGCTAAATATATTGCTTTCAAAACATTGCGCGACCCCCCCCCGACCCCGAGGCAACTCGAAGGACCAGCAAGCACAACCACAAGTACAAGCAACGCCGAACTTTCGTTGCCATTCTTTCTCCATAGCATCCACGATATGGAGCTTCTAGCTAGCAATACACTCACTGCCTTAAAAAGCACTGCACCTATTGACACCAAGCTTAAGCATTTGACAGAACTCAAGGCCGAGATCAAGCACCGTCACTGTCCTGAACATGCTGTCGCACCACTCTTTGATGCTATTCGCATCTCCCTTGCTACACCACACCTCACCGATGCCGGGTTCTCCATACTCGGTCATCTCATGAAACGTTTAGAGTTGCAGGACCAGGACTCGCTTCTCCAAGCACAAGGGATCAGAACTTACCCGTGTCTACTCGAGCGCCTGGCAGATCAAAAAGATCGCATTCGACAAAGGGCGCTGCAAGCATTCACTGACTTTCATTCCGTTTCTGCACCGGATGTCGAGCAATATGTGCGCGACCATGTCTTGACCAATAGACACCCGAAGACGAAAGAAGCTGGGATGCAATGGATAATTAGCGTATGTGTTGTCCTTCCCGCCTTGCAACAGATGCTAATAAGTCTCAGATCCGCACAGAAAAGAACATACCCTTTCGAACCTTTGTGCCCAATATTGTGGACTGTCTTGAAGAGGCTGATGGAAGCGTTCGACGGACCGCACAGTCTACAATCATTGAACTGTTCCAGTGAGTGCCCGGAGCTGAGTCTCGACCGCTACGGTAGCCATCGCTGACAATGCGTAGAAATGCTGGAATCAAGGGAACCAACGACCTGCAGAAGCATCTTCAACAGCGCAATGTCCGGAGATCAATTGTTGACCACATCTTATCCGAGCTTGGACTTACTGCTCATGAGGAAATCGAATCTGCCCCGCCAACACAGGCGCGAATTGGTGAGCTTCCGAGACAGACACACTTTCTTGGCAGTAGTACCGCAAGCGACCCCCCGCTTGATGCGCCGCCAATGTCGGTATCTGAGCAAGAAGCCGTACATTTGGATCCCTTGTACATCGAAAGCCACAGAGATCTTGAAGAAACGTTCCGTGAGATGCATCCATACTTCGAGGGCAAGGAGTCTGAGCAGAATTGGCTCAAGCGAGAGAAGAGCATATTGAAATTGAGAAAAATAACAAAAGGCAATGGACTTCAAGACTTCACCACAGTTTACCTTGCCGGCATCAAGGGACTCCTCGACGGTATTCTGAAGACTGTCAATTCCTTAAGAACAACCGTATCCGCCATTGGCTGCCATTTGGTACAAGACTTGGCCCGAGTCGCCGGGCCTGGTCTTGATAGCATGGTTGAAATCCTACTTCAGAATTTGATCAAGCTTTGTGCGAATACAAAGAAGATCACAGCAGCTAAAGGCAATGACACGGTCTCCGCCATCATGGCCAATGTGACTTTTAACAGTCGACTCACCCAACATATTTACAGCGCTTGCCAGGACAAGAACGTGCAACCTAGAAGTTATGCGTGTGGATGGCTCAAAATCATCATCAACAAACACGGACACCATAAGCATGTCATTGAGCACGCCGGAGGGCTTGAATGGATTGAGAAGTGTCTGAGAGCTGGTCTCGGAGACCGGGACCTAAAAGTCCGTGAGAGCATGCGATCAACGTACTGGGCATTCGCCCGTCTTTGGCCGGAAAGATCTGAAGTGTACGTCACACGTCTATCCTCGACCACCTGGTCTCGTTGCTAATGCGTCTTTTAGCATCATGTCCACTCTCGACAAGAAACAACAAGATTTGTTGATAGAAGATCCTTCAAACCCGAACCCTCACAAGATACCGGCACCGCACACTACTGTAGCTGGTGCTAAGCCCGGGTTCTCTCATAGCACGACCTCAGTACCAGCTAAACCTTCGATCAAGGAGACCATTGCGGCACAAAAGAAAGCAAAGCTAGCAGGCAAACATCTTCCCGAACGCCCTGGGTCGGCCGAACCCTTTGGATCACCCAAGAAATCTGTCCTACAGCCTAGTCTGGCTAGACCGGCAACTGCCATGTCTGCAGCCACCCGAAATGTGTCTACAACATCGATTGGTACATTATCCTCCGCACCAGTGCGCCCACGACGGAGAGCAGATGTAGCTCGCCCGGCTACCGCAGATCCCTATTCTACCAGGAAACCCGCGAGAACGGAAACACCACCAAGAAGTCCTGCGGTGAGCCCTGTCAAGAGACCAAAGACCCCCGCAAACACCGCAAGTACGATTAAGTTGGGTCCTACGAAGGTTGGTAGCCCTGCTAGTACCAGCTCCGTCAAGGCGAATTCATCAAAGAAAGCTGGCATAGTCAATTTGAAAGTCCAGCCCCAGCATAGTCCTACGAAAGCTGCAGAAAATTTCACCATGGTTATGCCCAATATGAATGAGACGAAGTCGGACGCCAGCGACTTCTTGCCTTCACTCAAAGCACCTATTGAGATCAAGTCTACTTCCTCACTAGATATACCACCTACGGGAGATCCATTCATGCCTACGGAGTCCGAGAACGCTCGATCATCCCCGAGTCCAAGGAAGTATCTCAACCAGAACGGTTCCGCTTCATCGATCAATGGCCATGGAGGTGACAAGTCCCACACGAGTCCCACAAAGCTAGCCAACGACTTTGATCATCTATCAATGAACGGGGCCAGTAGCCAAAGAATATCGATGAGCCCAAGAGCTATTGGATCGAGGAAAGAAAATCTGACCATGAAAACCTCCTATTTCCAGGAACAACGGCCGCTCCAGGTCTATGAAGATCCTGTGCTTGACCCCAGCGATGGCAAATTATCCCTTCCGCCATTAGTCCACACGCCAGGTGCCCTTGAAGAACTTCCAGTGAACGAGCCTGCAAAACAGCATCGCCAGGTATTTGATCATCAACTCTTAGCGGAGGAGCCCGCTAGTCCCGAATACCACGAGAAGTGGTTGGCTATTGAGGCAGCGGAGAGACAACGTATTAGCAATTCGGAAAACATTGATAATCCCCGGCTTGCACGCAAGATCTTAGACAGCGGAATCGTCCGCGTCCAGTCAAGGAGCTTGGATGTTCACGGATTTCGCAAGCTTCAGGCGCTGATTCGCACCTCGGGAGAGTCAATCTGGGAAGGCGGCTACAAATTTGACGAGCTAATCCTCCCACTCCTCGAATACCTCGAGACACCAAATGACGAATCAACACCTCGCACAGGCAAAGCGCAGGATTTGAAGACGCAGGTACTGGTTACGGTACGAGTTTTGCTGCAACATCAGCCGAAATACTTCTTCACCTACCATCCGCGCGCACTTACCGCTGTCCTTGCTGCTCGCAAGCATTACAGCAGCACATCCCATATTGTTTGCGGTCTCGAAGAAACCGCTGAGTCCATCGTCTATCAGTGTGACCCGTCTCCCTGCATTGATTCTGTTCTGGATCTTCTAGAGACCGAACGTCCCGAAGGCGCTGAGACTAATACCATTCTCATGGGATTGTATGTCCTGGCCGGCTTATTACACCGTGGTCAAGAGAAAGGAACTCGCCTTCATCTGAGTGAGGAACAAGAAGAGAGACTAGGCTGGATGGGTGCGAGATGTTTGTCAGATACGAATCCTGATATACGACGCGCTGTAATCGAATTCGTGCTCGAATTATACGATACCGTGGATCAAAAAAGATTTTGGGGCCTTGTGACGGGTGCGAAGGAAGATCATCGCAGCTTGATCACTTACTATTTGGCGAGAAAGAGGGCTGTTATGCAGTAACGCATGGTTGACGACGGAACGTTTCTGGGGTTTCTGGGCTTCGAGCCTTCCATTTCAGCGATGGCGCTGGTGGCTGTCGTTGTATTGTATATGCACTCTTCAGTAGGGCTCCCCAACTTGTGCACTCAAAATGTATTAAATAGCGCTGAAATAAAATGCAAAGTGTTCACTGTTCGATGTGTCTCTGCCTAAAGCTATGCGTGCCGTGGTAACCAGTTCTACAAGTAGTTTCCTAGGGCTATGAGGTTCTCTTTTTTGAGTAGCGGACTGTTTGGCCTCAACTTCTAACAGGGTTCCGAGGTTCAAGTCTTTACGCCAAAAAGACAAAGGCACGGATCTGTGACTGGAGACTCGGAAGTATCATCCGTGATTTAGAGATTTCTCGCCCAGAGCTCGTGCATGCATCTGCACTTTTCAAATCACGGAAGTGATCCAAAAATGGGGCTACAACGCATTGCCAATTCCGAGAACGTGAGACGTACGAATGGCTCCGATGTCATCTTGAGTCTCAAGATGAAGCTCCTCCAATACCGGTGGAAGAGCGGCCGACATTGACAGATTGGGCAAGACTAAGGAATCGATCCCCATACAAAGTCGTTTGAATTTGGGGAAGTCTTGCAGGATGAGCGACCGAGAATCATCCAGGTCTTGGGGATAGACAAGAGTAATGCATCGTATAGCTTCCCGCTCGAACATGGCCGATGTAGATGCCCGGCGTAGCTCGTAGGGCACGCTTCAATGGATAGATTTCGCAGAGCTTTGGGCTAAATGATCACTTCTGGCGGACCATTGCCTGGTGTACCAGTATTGCGAAGAGCTGGATCAGAAACGTCCGACGCTTTAGTTTCTCTCCGTTCACCATAGCCTTTGATATGACCCTCTCGGGTCCAATACTGAAGGCCGTCAATTGATAGACGCGTCAAGGACAAGAAGCAGGATATGTCGTGTAGGAACTGAAGGTCTTCGGCAAGTTCTGACGCCCAATCAGCACAATCTCTGTCATCATACCAGCTTGACCGGATACTGAAAGAGCTGATTGGGGCTCTATTGAGAGCTCTGACGTAGGGACTCGTTGAAGACAGGGGCAATCCTTTCAAGGAGATTGACCCGAGTATTTGTAGTAGTCGTCGAACCGCTTTATCATCGGTAGGCCCTTCGTTGTGTCATGTCAAATCCACGTCTGAACAGAAGACAAAAGACATTTGGAGGATTCTAAGTTCCGTGCGAATACATTAAGACTGAATACTCTTGACGTAGCTGGTGATGAAGTTTCTAAAAGGTCTTTGCTTAAAGTGGTGCGATGGATGAAGTCGCCCATCTGGCTAAAGAAGTCGAGGTGTCTTGAACCCCAGAAGTATGCCGCAATTGGAGCATCATAGGTAGTAGAGCTACATGGCGCTGGTCTGATTGTGTGGATGCGTATGAACGCCTCTTCAGTCTTCTGCCGCCCTCGAAGATGAACATACGCCTGGTAGTCGGTATCCTCTCGATGTGATGATTATGATCACAGTCAGGCGCGCTTCTACAAGCGCAGAATCAACAACGCTAGTAGCGTCGTACTTTACTTTACGAGTAGTGCCCAATTCGAGATCCCAACGGCGCTAGCAGATTGAACCTTTGAGTTTTAGGAAATGCTTGCGGGCCGCGATTATCGGATATCGAACATTGATTGGAATGATTAACATTTCAGATCTTTGTCATCTGCCTATCGTTATTGAGGTTCTCTTGTCTCGCCGGACCATAATCTCCTACTTTACTCATTACTACTAGGCCCTGTCAACGACAAGCTTGCACGGCGACGGCGGCACCAGGCCTTCTTAGGGACGGGCTGGAGGTGCAACATGGGCAAAGTGTTTCAAGGCAACGATGTTTCTGAGAAAAGTCAAGAGGCGTAAAGCTTGACTGGTGGAGAAAGCTACTTGACTTGCAAGCCTTTGAGCTCAATAAAACAGGCAGGTTGGAGCATTACCTATCAGGATCAGGATTTTGAGGTGAGGCTGAAGGGGATAGGAGGCATACTGCATGCATAGTAAGATACCTTAATGCTGCAGAACGGCAAGACAAGGCTGAGGGAGATGAATGATGTTGCAGGTACAGAGGTACAGTAAGGTAGACCTAGTTAGTTGCAGGACAATAGGCATATTGTCAAGGTTTGGGCCGCTAATCAGGCCCCACGTCAGCCCCCGCTATGCCTAAAGGATTTGGGTGGCGTCTAAGGCCCCCTGACATCCTGACACCCTGGCAGTGACAGGGTATGTGTATTCCTGCAGGGGCTGCGGGGGCGCCCAGAGTCCGGACAGCGCGTTATTGGTTTTTCTATCAATTTGAAACAATAATACTACCTATCAGGCTTCTGGAGTTCACGCTCAGTGATTTGGCTGATAACTAATTGACAAGTCGTGGGATGTAGAAAGGAGCAAGCAGTTGTATACTTATACTCCTTACATACATGGCTTGCGCCCATTCCATTTTCCATTCCATTCGGCCCTCCCGCAAAGTTGCAATCAAAATATCTTCCTCATAAAAAGGACTCCGACATGGATTTGCCGTTAGATATGCGTTTCAGCCTGGCTGCGCACGTTTGAAGCGGTCAGAACATTCGTAGCACAGCAGTCATCACTCATCAGTCACCAAAAACCCCTTATGCGAGGTACTTGTGGGCACTGCCGTAGAACAGTAGAAAATGTTTGTACCCACCCCCTCCCCCCTGTCTTTAAGTACCGTAGATTCGTAATGGCACTGGCTTGGAAAATGCTTCACCAAACTTTTCTCCCGGCGAACTACCTTTTGCCCTTGGTATAGTAGTGTATAGTGGAAATACTCTCAAAAAACGCACTAGCCACTTCCTCTTCTGCGCCTGGACATCGTCACCCTGAACTTCGGAACACCACTGGCACCTATGATGATGCTGACAGCGACAGCGACACCGACGAATCTTCATTCTTGCTTGCACGCTTCGTCGTTGACCTTCCCACAAGGCCAATTGCCCTAATAATCCTGAAACACCATTGCCGAGAGCCCCAGTCACGAGTCCCAAGGTCCGCACCTCGAAATTCTTTCTCCGTCCACTCCCCAATGAATCAATATAATCACGACCAACTTCATCCCACTGCCCTTTCGGGGCGAGTGTGAGTGCTGTACGGCTTAACTGCACGACTTTTCGGGAAGCTGCGAGGCCTGCATCATATTACAGCTTTCTGCGCGCTGCCCTGGCCAGAGCTTAGGCTATCCACTCCTTTCTCTCCGCTTGTCGCTCGCGGGTGTGCATGTACCTGTCAGCCAACGTCAGTCCCATCATACGCGCACCATAAACCGAACCGGTAGTCGACTAGGCTTGCCTTACGCCCGGAAGACGCAGATTTCGACTGTTTGAGGTCTGGTTTTCTTGCGAAACGGCAAGGGATATCAGTCCATTTGGGTGGATCTGGGCAAGTCTGGCCTATGTCCCATGAATAGAGCTAGCGGGGAGGATCAAACGTCCTATCGATACGCTGGCCCTGACGTCTGCTGTTGATTGCTACAGCAGAGTTGGGTTCTGGCAACCCAGTGCCTCTGATGATGATGGACTCGTCTTCGGGCTTTCCTGAGTCTCCTATGGAGCAGGACGAGGCAGCATATCCGTGTAAAGGATGTGGAGAGGTATGTTTCACGCCGCCATGCGGCCTTTCAGCTAAGCCGCCCCCTGTGCTAGGCCGGAGTGCTAACGAGTGTAACCTGCACGTAGATACTCGAGGAAGGAAAGGCCTTCGAACTGGGTACGTCTCTGCTACAACCATGGTCACTTTGCGAGATCGATATACTGATAGTCTACCAGCGGGCAATCGATGGCACATAGACTGTTTCCGCTGCAACACCTGCGGTACCATCCTCGACTCGGATGCAAACCTCCTCCTGCTCGGCGACGGCTCACTCATCTGCAACAATTGTACATATAGCTGCAGCGTCTGTAACAATAAGATAGAGGACCTCGCCATTCTCACGGGAGACCAGGCCTTTTGCGCTACATGCTTCAAGTGTCGGAATTGCAAAAAGAAGATCGAGAATCTCAAATATGCTAGGACTTCACAGGGCATATTTTGCATGGAATGTCACGAATCCTTGATGCAAAGGCGCCGGAAAAAATCTCAAAAGAACGGCTCAAATCGTCATAAACATCTTCAGCAACCCCAGAACAACACCATGTTGCTGGACAAGTCCTTGCCATCTCTACCGCCAAGCGCCGTCAACCAAAGTGCCTTTTCGCCGGACAATGAGAGCCCACCTTCAGAGGGCTACTCCGAAACACCTACCGAACTCCCACCTGGCGCGCACAAAGTGCCATCGAATTTGAGATCAAGATCGGAGACTGGAGCACCGGCTGAAATACCCCGAGGGCCCCCAAAAAGGCCGCCGAATTTCAGATCGCTTTCATCAAGGAGTGAGAAACGTGAAAGGTCACCTATGACTCAAGAAGACGAGCGCAAAGGTATACATCCAGTGGGGTGGCTCCCTTCAATGCGGTAGCTGACAATTGGCAGAAAATATCACGCTACCCAATACCACCTATCAAAACAATAGACACTCAGTTCATTCGCAACTATCTGATGGATCTGGAAATGGCGAGGGATTCTTCATTCCCATGGCACTTGATCCCAACCCAGCGCCTGGACCGTCTCCATTAGCTAGGCGGGAGTTGTTCGACGAGCAAAAAAGTACACCCAAGTCTCAACCGAGCGAGAGCAAACCTACCGCTCGAGATTACTTCAACGCGATAAATTCCGCGTCACGGAAATCGCCAATCGAGAAAGAAAATACTCAGACAGCTCCCACCCCTGTTTCGCCAACTAGCTCTCGCCATTCATCTCCGCCTTCTCAACCGCAAAGTCCACACATTGCATATCAAGAAAGAGGTCGGCAACTGTCCACTGACCTCACGGATCAAGTCCGCAGCAAGAAAGAGCTTGGGAGCAACTCAATAAATGCAATTGCCCACGAGACCCCACGAGCCACTCCTGGCGAGGAGCCTCGTCCGCGTCGGAACGGCGAGACAACTAATGGCAAGTTCATGCTACAAGAAGCCCCCAAGAAGAAGAGGAATTCGAAGTCAGACCCGATTCCGCCAACGAGAGATACCTCCATACCGGCGCCAAAGACGAAGTCTGCGCCAGTAACGGCAAGTACGCAGGTAAAAGAGCAACAGGTCATATTATCTTCGCATGAATCCCCAACCTCCTCACGCTCTGAAGCAACTCTAAGCGGCTCGCCTCCTGACACCCAAGGTTCGAGAAGTTATACTTCGACGGATTCGCCAGTTTCGCATACTTCGCCGTTGAGTACGCAATTAAAAAACCTGCCGGAGAGGGGCGATTCTTTGGCTAAGCCATCGCTTGGCAAACAACCTATTCCCAGGAGAGAGATGGATGTAGCAACTGTGAGCAAGCTGTCGAATAATGTGTCAACTTCTGAGAGCGGTTACGAGAAACCAGCATCGGCACCAGCTACAACGACTACTCAACCACTTGCAAACACCAATGGGAGTAGAGGCGTTACAAGGGCGCAGGACTCCCCATCAGCTGTCAACTTTGCTGATGCTCCGCCGCCTCCTTTACGTGCCCGCGAACGCCTCGCTCAGCAAGGTGCCTCCTCAAGCGATTCCTTTGTCGCGCCCAGAGTGCCTCCTAACCCTCCGAATACAGCAACTTTCAAAGCAAAGACCGACTTGATGAAGCCTGAATCGCCACGCAATGGGGACTCCCCAGGCTCACCAAAAATGCGCCACCCCGCAGCGGAAGGTTTCACCATGGATAATGACATAGCTCACGCTACGAACACTGACGGACAGCAAGACCAAGGTGGCTTCCTAAGACGTGTCTCGCATTCGGTCCGTCACGCTCGGAGCTACAGTGACAGAGGTACCCGTCTTTCTAGGGAACAAAAATGGCCCAAGTCACCTCTCGTTGGATCGAACAGTCCTGGTTTTGCCAATGAAGTCAGCAGTCCCACAGCCTCATCGCCAGAGAACAAAGAAGAGCTGAGACGGTACAAAAATGAAAGTCGTAGGGACAAGCAGAAGATGACCGAAATGGAGCAGAGAATCGTCGAATTGGAAGCAGCGGTTGAAGCCAGGACCAATATCAAACAGATGAACACAGAATTGCGGGAAAAAAGATCTACGATGGTCGTACTGGACACACAGAAAGAGATAGTGATCCGGGAATTGGAGGTTCTGACAGAGCATATCGCTGCAGCCAAGAGAAGCGGCGACCCACTGGACGTTGGTAACTTGAGTAACGCGGTACTAAGAGAGTTTGCGGAAAGCCTACAGAAGCTGAAGGATTCTTTTGCGCCGCAAATCGAAGAGCTGACGCAGCGAAGGAACGATTTGACCGAAGAAATCTTCAACCTCACTCAACTGAGAGAGAGCAGCTTTCAGGAATTTGAACAGCTGTCTTTGAAGAATGCGCAACTCGCAGATCTCAATAATCAGCTTGTCCACCAGGTCCAGGAGCTTCGAAAAGCAAATGAGGGCCCTGCTCCTGACGTTGTCCGACCTCAAGCCAATGGCCTGGGTATCTATGCACAGAACCAAAATAGTAGGTCTAACTCTGGGATGGACGTTCGGGATTCACGGCCCTCGTTCACGGAAAGTACTATGACCGGATCCACCGTGGTGCAGGAGAACGAAGTCGAGCCTGCAACATACTTGACAGCACCTCAAGTGGTCAATATCCGAAAGGCCCAACCAAAGAAGTTCAACTGGAAGAAAGGAGGTCACAACGTTGCCAAAGGCGTCACGAAAGGCCTGAAAGGAGCTTTCTCTAGCGATGGGAACAGGAATCAAAGAGAAGGCCAGTATCCTGAAGGCATGCCTTATGGAGCTATGCAGCAGCAAGAATATCCCAGCGGTAGCCTCTCCAGGAATCAGAGTCATGACCCAGCGCGACCAGGATTCGTAGGCTTCTTCGGCAATCAGAAGGGAAGGCAGCAGCCGTGGAAGAACTCGCCCAACGGTAGCATGCCTGCTATCAATCACGAAGGTGGTCCAGGTATGAACTTGCATTCTTCCGCCAGTGCTATGATCTCGCTAACATAACCAACAGCTTTGTTTGGCTCCGAGCTTGAGCACCGCGCAGAATACGAGCGGGTGAACATCCCCGGTATCGTAATGCGTTGTATCCAAGAAGTGGACGCGCGAGGTATGTTTTCATGCCATTGCTCCATAACCTTGTCTATTACTGACACCCTTCACTAGGCATGGATATCGAAGGCATCTACCGCAAATCTGGCGGCAACTCCCAAATCCAAACCATCAAAGAAGGCTTTGAACGCAGCAACGACTTCGACATCTCTGATCCCGACCTCGATATCAACGCCGTCACCTCCACCCTCAAACAATACTTCCGAAAGCTTCCCACACCACTTATCACCTACGAAGTATACGATAAACTCCTCGAGACTCTTCCACCTCCTGGGCAGAACCCAATGGATATCGACCCCTCACATCCGGCCCACCCCAATAATCCCCTCAACCACACCTACCGCGTGAGCAGCATGAGAAACGCAATCAGCGAGCTACCCACGCATCACCGTGATACGCTGGAAGTACTGGTATTTCATTTGGCGAGAGTCGTGGAGCAGCAGGCGGACAACTTGATGACGAGCCAGAACGTGGCGGTTGTGTTCGCACCAACTGTTATGCGGCCAGAGAGTCTGGCGAGAGAAATGCAAGACACGCAGGCCAAGAACGGGGCCGTGCAATTCTTGATTGAGCATTGCCAGGAGGTGTTCATGGGTGACGATGAACGGAGATGAGAGCGACCTGAAAAGAAAACTTGTGACCTAGGGAGAGAGGGAGGCTCATGACGGCGTGCTCGATGCCGCCGTCCAAGAAGTATCGAGAGATGGACCTGGCAAGGTCCGAGACACCATGACACTCCCGAATTCGAGGAGTGGAAACGTCACAAGACGAAAGTGGGTATAGTGACTTCGGCCTCCAGGTTACGTGAGTGCGAGAGCACATCGAAGAAATGATACTGATACCCTTATTGGAATGATTTTTACTTCTACAGCACTTCGAGCGGGCGCTATCCTTGTTTATCTTACCATATATCCTTCGGAGATGATACTTTTTAGTTTCCTCCGTGTACTGGGTTCCGGCATGACTAGCAAAGCGTGCATCATTTACGGGGGCATTTCAATCTTTTTACCTTACGGATGGAGCATTTTAAGGACCTGATGATACGGGTAGATATATACCATTAGTTGTATTTAACTTGAGAAAGTATTTCATGGATTAGACTACTAGTAATCTTTGCACTGGAATCGTTGTCGTGCTTTTGATTGGGAGCAGCAAACCAGTGTGAGGGTATTTCTTGGAACAAATCGTTTGGAAACGAGGTTATAACCACGCTTTCCGGAGGAGGATTGAGAATATCAGGCTCACTAGCGGAAAAGATGACAGATGCAGCGGTACAAATCCCGAGAGTCTGGACGGATACAACTTGAAGTAACAGTTTTACAGCTTTCAGCCACTTCACTCGGAACATTGCCCACGACTCCGCTGAGATCGAGAGGTAAGATTACAAGCGTCGAAGAGCAATGCCTGATTGATTCTGCAAACCAGGATTGGACAGTAGGGGGAATGTGAGATGGAAATTGGGCCTCTTCCTCCTCTGTACTATACACATAGAAAGCCTCAAAAGGTGTCCTCGTCTCCCAATCTCGCTCTCTGAACCACACTCGGGCTGTCTTCCTCCAAATCATCCGTCACGTTCCCACCAGCCGTAAGCAACAAATCCTCGACAATCCGCTTCGAAGCTTCCCGTGCGGGCGTCCTCAACAACCTCGGCTGCGGAACATGGAATTGCATCGTCTTTGGCGGGCTCATCCCGACGCCCATATCGTCTTCACCATCGTCGCTGTCACTATCCCACATCTGCTGTTGCTTTCCCCTCTTCCCACTTTCGGCGGCGCTGTGTGTCCTCCCTCTTGCAGGAGTGAGCACACTGACTCCTGGTACACGGCTCTTTCGTGCCGGCGTATCGAAGATTTCTGAATGTAATTGTGGTGCAGGCACTGCAGGAGAGGAATCCAGATCGAAGTCCTCCTTCGCTCTGCCTCTACCCTTCTTGGCTGTGCTGGGTTTCGGCGTTGCATCTGTGAATGATTTGCTACGCTGAGGCAGTCTTATGGTGGAGTGTGGGGTGGCCTGTATTCGCCAGTTCTTGTCCAGAACGCGGTGCAGAAGGACATCGTTTGCGGGCGTGCGGCGGGCTGTGTGGTGAGATGTGGAAGGCGGAGCGAAAGGAGATGATTGAGGCACTGGAGAAGCGGCGGCGCGGGGTGTGGATGGAAGAGTAGATTCAGACGGCGAAGGCGCAAGGGTTTCTCGCTTGAGGGTTTCGTATGGCGAAGAGTACGGGGCTGTTGCTATTGGCCGTTTTTGCTTGGGCGGACGTGGCGTGCTGTTGGTTGGGGAGGGAGAGAGTGTTTCTTCGTTAGGATACGGCTGGTTCGAAGGGGTGTTGGGCTGGGGGGAGTCGTAGGTTGACGTTGACGGCGTGGTTGTGGTGGGATCGTCTTCTTCTGTGGTGGTGGCTTCGTCGTCGGCGGGAGGTTCCTCGTAGCCAGAGAGGGAGACGTTGGCCGAGGCTTCGAAGAACTGTTTCCAGAACTGTGGCATGTCAGGCTATAACCTCGATGCGATTAGGACGGGGGGGGGGAAATACTTTGGAGCCTTCCCAGACGTTTTTCGAATGCTCTGCATATCGTTCGACAACTGGCAGAATGCTCGTCGTTACGATCCGGTGGGCTCGACTGAAGTTATGATCGATCTCTAAGAAGCAAAGTCAGCACAGCACATTGGTAGGCGCATGGTATGGAATCACCTTGGAGGGTCAAGGTAATGGATTGTTCCAGCTTCTCCAGCTCTTCGGTCAGGGAGAGGTTTCTTTGAGCTGCCGAGGTGGGATTGGAATTGATATCCCTCTGTCCGAAGGCGCTTGGGCGCGACATGGTTACAAATGATGTTCTATCTACTTCGTGGGAAGAAGACTTTGTTGGAGAAGCATCCCAAGCAATCAAAGCATCAAAAGGTCGCGTATTTATTTAGGGCTTTTTTACACGCGCCCTGAGCCGAGGCACGGGATATCGGGGACTTCTTATCGGGGCTAGTGCGGGGGCGAAGCATTAACTTTTTTTTAATTTATTTAAAAATATTTTTTTCCAACAACTTTTATATTATTTTTTTTTTTTAAATAAAATATATATATAAATAAAAATAATTAAAGAAAATAATTTTTTTTTTTTTTTTTTTAAATCCCCTCACCCCTAACCCCAAACAAAATAAAAAAATTTAACCATAAAAACAAAAAAAAAAACAAACTTTTTTAAAGAAAATATTTTTTTTTTTTTTTTTTTTAAAAAAAAAAAAAAAAATAAAAAAAAAAAGAAAAAAAAAAATAATAAAAAAATAAATATACTTTTTTGGGGGGGGGGGGTTTTAAAAAAAGAAAAAAGGAAAAATAAAAATTAAAAATATTTTTATTTTAAAAAAAAAAAATAAATTTTTTTTTTATAAAAAAAAAAAAAAAAAAAAAAAAAAAAAAAATATTTTATATATATTAAATAATTATTTTATAAAAAAAAAAAAAAAACAACAACCACCTACTAGTTTTTTTTTTTATTTTTTTTATTTTTTTTTTAAATAATAAAAAAATTTTTTTTATATTATTTTTAATATTGAAAAAAAATTAAGTATCATATAATAAGCTAAACGAGATCATTATAAAGTTACAAGACGAGATAGTAAGTAAAGTACTAAAGGAGAAGACATCGAGCGAGATAACCATGATAGTCAATAAATATATAAAGAGTACGAATACTATAAGGAAACCTATTAAAACGGCCAGGAGGCTAGCGAGTAGCGATATATATATCATAGTTACAAATAAGAAGAAGGCGAATAGACTGAGAAAAAGTAAGGATTAGACTTTAAAGATAAGTGGTAGCGCGAGAGTAATTATTAAAATGTATAGCCTTTTACTTTATAGAGTAAGAATTAATATATTCGATATTAAAGATATGGCTACGGCAATCAAAAGGATTTAAAATGAGAATATTAATACGCTAAGCCTTAATATAGTATAGCTAGACTAGTTTGGCGCGAATAAAGAGAGTTATAATAAGAGTTCATTAATTATCAAATTAGCATCCTTAGAGAAAGAAAATAGAGTACTAAAAGAAGATCTAGTTATCGATTCGAAATTATATAGTTATTACATCTATAACAAGTAGTATAAATCGAAGCAATACTTCATATACTGGAAATATAGTCATTTATCGACTGCATACCCTAAAAAGAATTACTTAGTATACAGGAAATACTTAGAGAAGCATCATTATAAAGAATATACGGCCGACACTCGCAAATGCCCGGTTTACAAGGGATTATATAAGGCTTAAAATAAGGTATATATAGTAAAGAAGAGGGAGATAGCGAGAATAAGAATGGCGAGATAATAAATTCCTTCACGATTTATAACAACGAAGGAAGTATCGACTAGCTATCAAACAAGTAATCAATTAAGCAATTACTTTTAAAATACGTTTAATTATAGGCGAAATGAGGAATTTTTCCTAAGGCTAGCATTCACATACGATAGGCCAGTAGGCAGAGATAGAATAATTAGTAGGGGAGGAATTAGAGGGCCGAACCTCGAAAGAACTACTACATCAAATCTTTAGCCGAGTAAAAGAAGATATACTTTCATATTACTAACAAGGGCCTCGCCTAGAAATAAATCGCCCTTTAAAGTAATAGACGAAGTTAAATAATATAAGAACGATATAGCGGTAAGGGAAATTAATAATTTCGAGGACGATAGATAACCTCTAAATCAAAAGAGTGGTAATAAGAGAATTACGGTCTCCATTAATGAGAATAAAAAGAGATATATCTAATCTATCGACGATTAAGAAAAGAAGAATACTTAGAAAGGGGATATAAACTCTATAAACTAGGCGGAGCGAGTAAGTAATATTAACAATAACATCGAGAAATGATAGTATACCTCAGTCAACTATTAATACTATAATATAATATAAAAAAATCTAAAATGGTTATAATAGAACTCTTCGATAATAAAAAGATCTATAACATCGATATAGTAGCAATTTAGAAGCCCTAGAGAAACATTAACATAAATATATCATATTATCTTCTAAAGAATAGATTTAATTTAATCTACCCCTATTATAATAATATACGAGTATACTTCTATATTAATAAGAGAATATCATTAAAGCAATAATACTTATTATATTACTTATCGAACCTCTACACTCTTAATATCAAGTTCGAAAATAATAGAATTATACGTATATATAATATCTACAACCTCGGCGACTAATAAATAGACGAACTTAACGAACTATATAAGACGCTTATAAAGTTTAAAGATAACGAACAGATTATGCTAGACGACTTTAACCTTTATTACACGATATAAGAAAGATCGAATACTTATATCGATGAGAGAGTAGAAGAACTAATACTCATAGCGAAAGAATTCGTTATAAAATAAGTATTGTTAGTAGAAACGATAATATATAAAGAAAACTATCAAATAATAATAGATCTACTATTCGTTACTCTAGCACTAATAGTAAATATCATTAACTACAATATCGAAAGTAATTTCGAAAGCGAATCTAATTACTTTTTAATTCTCATAAAGCTTAAGCTAGCCGTAATAGAGTTAGCATTAACAATACGCCGAAACTTTAATAAACTAAATGTCGAGGTCCTAAGAGAGATACTCGCTAAAGCTATAATATCGAAAGAGTATCTAGCTAATCCCTTAGAGAATAGTGGAAATATTATTAATAATAGTATTAATCATTAAGTAGCAGCTATTATTAACTCTATTTAAGCGGCTATAGAGAAGTCTACTTCGGTTATCAGATTATTACCACGATCTAGACCGAGATTTACGCTAGAATATAAGAAAGTATAAAGACATTATAAATCGCTAAAAAGAAGATAAAGAATAACGCTTTTAGAGGAAGTATGGGATAAGTATAAAGTCGCTAAGAACTTCAAAAATAACTTAATTAAGAGAATTATTAGAAAGGTATTCAGAGAGTTTATGGTAGAGGCGTATAAGTCGTTATAAATAATATGAAAAAAGATTAAGTAGGCCAGAAAATAACTTACAATATAGGTGTGTCTCCCTTTACTATTTAATAAAGATAAATAAAAATATAACAAACTAGACTCGAAGGCAGATCTTTTTATAAGAATATTCTTCTTATTATTAGTATAGGCGGAGTTAGATAATATTAGCGTCGATATAGTATATCCATAAGCCTATCTGATAAACACGATCATCGTAAATAAGATAAGAAAGGCTATAACGTAGATATCGTTAAAGAGAGCTTTAAGGGGAGACGCGATCCTTAATCTAATTCTTAAGGAGATCCTAAAGTCGTTACTTTTTTATCTATATAGAATATTTAATATATATATAATAAACGACTACTATCTAGAGCACTTTAAGATATTAATAATAATTATCCTTTTGAAGTTAGATAAGAATTACTCGATTTCTAAAGGATATTAATTAATAGCTTTACTTAATATTATAAGAAAGGTAATAAAGTTTATTCTTGCTAGGAGAATAGTATATCTTATGAAGATATATAGACTTCTATCGGCTATATATATGAGAGGCCGTAGATTACGATCATATAAATACGATATTTACTATCTTCTAGAAAGGATATATTAGACTTAAAACTCTGATAAAGTAACTACGATATTATTATTAGACGTTTTAGATATATATAATAAAGTCTCTTATCCTCGATTACTTTATAATCTTCGAAAGCGAAAAATCGATATAAGAGTAGTTAACTAGGTAGAATCGTTCTTATCTAATAGAATAATAATACTAAAAATAAGCGAATACTCTATATTAAAGACTCTTATAGCAACCGAAATTTCTTAAGAATCACCGCTATCACCCATACTTTACCTCTTCTATAATTTAGATCTTATTAATAAATATAATAATCGCGTCGATTTAGAAACGATAGCCATCGGCTTTGTAGACGATATAGGTCTTCTAATAGTAAGAGACTCCACCGAGGAAAACTATAATATACTTCGTAAAATCCACGACGAAGTTTATATAAAGTAAGCGTTATAATATGAATTAAAATTCGATCCCAGTAAATATCAACTATTACACCTTAATAGAAAATAGAGATTTAGCTTAAACTATTCTCTACAATTTAATGAGAGGTAATATATTAAGATGAGACGCTTTATTCGCTATCTAGAAGTCGAAATCGACTCTAAACTTCTATAAAGCTATCATAATAAGAAGATTCGGTCTAAAGCTATTAAAAGCATCGATATACTAGCGAGAATTACTAAATCGATATAGGGTGACAACTATAAGAGTATAAGACAGCTCTATTAGGCGGTAATTATCTTATAAATAACATACTACTACTTAGTATAATATTAGCCCGAAAACATTATCGGCTATAATAAAACTTATCTCTTATCGCTATAAAGAATTTAATCTCAGATAGAGAGGAAGATAACTAAAGCATTTAAGATTATATTTATTTCAGCACTTAATATAGAAGCGTATCTTCTATCAGTTAAATAATAGCTAAATAAGATTATCTTAAAAGCTATCTTATAAATTACTACTAGTTTAATATATAATGAGATTATTAAGTCATATTTCGAGCGATAGAAGTTTAAAAAAAATCTAAAAAGAATAGGAAATTAAGTTCACTAAAGCGATATATTAATAGATTCGAAGAATAATACAACGATATTAATAAGATTAAGAAACTACGCTCTTTTAGCGCCGCTTTCAACTAAGAGTCTTCTAAAACGATAATTCATAAAATTAAGAAAGCCGCTAAAGAACTGGTTAAAAAATCGATTAATAAGAAATATATAATAATATATATAGATAGTAGCGGGATTAATAAAAAGGTGGGAGCATTAACTATATTATTAGATATTGATTTTATTTTTAATATCTATTTAGGCTTAAGCGACTAGTATATAATATACTCGGCGAAGCTATATGATATTCTCTAAGCTCTAACTATAGTAGCTATATATTAAATAAAATTACAACTTAGCAAAGTTATAGTAAATATAAACAATTAAGTATCGATTTAGGCTATCGAAGACTTAAGTAAGTATTTAAAATAGATCTATATAATATAGATAATATAGATTATTAATTCGCTAAGGTATCTCGAGATAGTAATAGAATTATACTAGATCTCGATATATATTAATATTAACAATAATAAATAGGCGGATAGAGAGGCGAAGAAGACTATTAATTAGCGAGAGCGAGTAATTTATAATAAAAGAGTAGAGATAAATATTAATAAAATAATTTAATTATTAATTATATAGATAAGAATAATATCAACAATTAAGACAGCTATTAAGAACTACGCGATAGAATAATAGACTATTAAATAAGTCAATAAGAAGCGAGACGATATTCTTAGAAGAATCTAATTAACACCGTCGAAATAAATATAACTTCTATATTCGAGAGTCAAGCGCGCTAAGACGTCGCTAATAATGTAAATAAGAACCGAGAAAATAGGTCTTAAGGCCTTTCTTTATAATCGATAGATATCGAATATAGAGGATAAAGAATATAAGTGTGGAGCGAAGTAGATGACTTAGCATATCCTTTATAAATATAGACTATTTAGTAAGAAGCGAGGAATATAGTAAGCTAAAGAAAGAAGGAAGGTGAAAGAGAGGGTTATTACTTACAAAAATATACTAATAAAGTTACGCTACGTCTCTATAGCGGCGGACTTTATAAGGAGTACTAGACTTATTGGGTAATATCAAGCCTTTGATGAGGATCAACAATAAGGATTCACTAGAGTAGGCGGTCAAAAAGAAGGACACGATCAAGACGGGAGGGCCCCAGCGATGTAGGGTGCACCCCTTTCCCAAGGATCAAGTACCCAAAACGCAGAACCATGACGGTGACTTGTATAGCCTCATTTATTTGAGATCATATGATTGGCCGAAAGGATCAGATAGATTACGTAACTCGCATAGTCGGCCACTAGGGTAAGACTTTAGGGTAGTATGATGTAATCAATCAATCAATCAGTAGCTTGAGCATGCTCATGAATGAGTACTCGGTCTTTCGGTATGACGACGAGACGGCCTCTTTTCCAGGCACCGCCGATTTGCTCTGCAATACCTCTACCACTCTACCACTTACCACTCTCTCCTGAGCCTGCCATATTTCCAATTTACCTTACATAAACAAGATTTTATACACGACACCTAAAGTCTCTCTCACCATGCCGGCGCCATTGGCCAAAGGTCAGTCACACCCTCATGAAACTTGAATGCCTGCACTAGTCTCAGATGAGAGACCAAATCACACGCCTCTGTCTCGACGATACCATTCACAGCAAGCTTACAGTCTCCAGGCCTGATTCTCACCATCTCCCTCATCTGCGCTGCCGGTCTCGCTATCTACGAAAACCCCCAAGTACGGCAGTGGATCGACGAATCACGACGTAAGGCTGCAATAGCCCTATACAGCCTAGGCGACGAAGTAGCACCACAATCGGAATCCCGAAACACATCACCAGATGCTTCAACTCGCGAGGATGAGGACCCAGAAGCGGTTGAACGAAGGCGTAGAGCCAGGCATGAGATTTTAGAGAGGGGCAGAATGATAGAAGAGCGACGGAGATCAAAGCAAGCAGCCAGGGGGAAGGCAAGGAGCTTCGATGACCTGGTTGACAGGGATGGCGCTCTCAAAGTCGAGGAAACGACGGCGACTTCATCGGCTGCCGAGGCCCAACCAGAGGAACTAGGCCTACGCCTCAGACATATAGAATCCAGGGCCGCAGCTCTGGGCTCTGCATATGCGGACCCTTTCGCCGATGAGATGGGTGTGCCAATAATGGATGCACCTCCTTTACCTCAAGAGCAAGAGCCAGATACTATCTCAGGCTCCAGCACACCTACTCATCCCGCCTCATCTGCTTCCCCACCTACTCTCCGTGATTCTTCGGCCTCTCCTCCAGTCCCTCCGAAACCAGCAGCGTACCAACCCCAACGCCTCCTTATCGACACCGACGAAGTCTCCAACCATCCCTCTGAACAGCTACTGGACCTCACACCCACCACGTCCGCCTCCTCAGCTGCTGCAGATCTAGCTGAGCTCAGTAATGAGCCCCAGCCAACACGTTCAAATTTTTGGTCTGTCAATGAATGGGCCCAGAGCAGTGCACCGGCTTTCTACTCACCACCTCAATCCGAAGCAGCTGGCAGTATCGAAGAGAAAATGGAGAACCACACTGGTGGGTCACATGCAGGTACCGGTGAGCATGCTAGTCAAGTCGGGAGCGAGGATATGGATGTCATGAGCGATGACGAAGCCCTGGTCAGTACGCCGGGGAGCTGGACTGAGGTGGGTAGTCAGGTCAGCGAGGGTTACTGATGACAGGCTTATACGTGGAAAGGGAGCGCTTTTTTATGGTGGCAAAAGAGATGGCGTTAAAACTGGGTGGCATTCGCGGAATTTGGTGATGGCGCTCATGAATTTTCCTAAGGTTAGACTTGAAGGCTCGTCAATTCAATTGAGATACTTTTCATCACAAATCTTCGGAACTTGAACCCCTACTGATCTTCTTTTCTACCTTTTTGTGTCAGAGAACTCCCCAGTTTCCTAGCTTGTTCCCACAACACTCAAGATCGTGCCGAGAGGGCATCCAAATTCGAGATCTCGTCGATTCTGCGTCATCTTGCTTCTTGGCATTCGCAGCAGCGCTGGAGTGTCAACTTCGAGTGGAGTGCCCAGGCGAAGAGGTTCGTCTGCGATCTTCATGATCCTACGCCAATTGATCGCTGACCATAACCGCCGAGAGCACCCACGCTGTCAGGAATTCATTACCATGCTGGGTAAATGTCTGCTGCATGACGCGCAAACCTGCTGTCAGGGACTCAATGGTGTGTGTGGTAACTCTGTATTGTAGTATGAAGAGAATACTATCTATATAGGATTATTACAAGTGTGGGCTTCACAGTAAGGTAGAAAGGCCGAAAGGCCTTGGCACGCTAAGCCTAATTGGGCCATAACACAAGTAAGTAAGGTCGTAAGGTCATTGGAACCGTGACATTACCCCCCTTCAATTTAGAGCTTCGGCGACGACTACTACATAATAGACACCGATCTCATAGAAAACATACCTAGGCGTATACAAAGTAACATCCTTAGATATATTAACTTAATATTCCATTACGATATCGAGATTTTCTCATAAATCGATATAGCTATTATAGATTAGTAGCGCTAATAATAAAGATTATTCTAAAGGTCTTTTAAATAATAAATAAGGGCTAACGACCTTAGAGTAATAATAATAAAAGTCTACTACTAGATTCGAATATTCTACTATATTTATAAATAATTACTAGAATAAGTTTTTCTTAATCTCGAGGTCTCTATATCTAATTTTATATATAAGATATCCCCTCTTATTAGTTAAGGGATTATTCTTTTATTTATTTAGCTTAAATTAAACTATTTCTTTAATATCGTAGATTTTATCTTCTTTATTAATATCGATAGATAGTAGCGGAGACTCGATTTATTCTAATAGTAGATTACTATTATCGAGATATAATAGCTATAAATAAAAGATAGAATGAATATTATTTATAGAAGTAGAGAGTTCTAACTCGTAAGCGAAATTGTTTAAAGCTTTAGTAATTTTAAACGATTCGAAATTTTTATAATTTAGTAATTTACTAGGGCGTATAGTTTTAATATTTCTTCTATTAAGTATAATTATATCTTCGACTTTAAATTCTAATATCGAAAGCCGGTAACGATTAACTTATTCTTTCTATAAAGCTTATAACTATTCGAGCTAACTTCTTAGATAATTTCTTATAATATCGATCTTTTCGATAAATCTATTAGTTAACTTAATATCTCTTTTCGCTCTTTAATTAGCGAATTAATTCTAAAAAATCGAGGGTTTTATTCTTAAGCGAGGAATATATTCTTTAATAAGAAGGAATAATAATATATCTAATAAGGTGTTCTTATCGAAGTTAGCTTTAAACTCTACTATTAATAATAGATCTATTTAATTATCTTAATTATAGTTAATATAAGCTCTAAGATATTACTTTAGAGTAGCGTTAGCGTTCTTTATTTATTTATTAATTTTAAGATAAAACGTAGTAGAGAGTTTAGATTTAATCCTAATCCTTTCGTATAGTCTTCTTTAGAAATATATTATAAATTAAATACCTCGATCGAAGATAATAATAAATAGATATTCTTCCTCTCGCTATATGAATTCGATGAAGATCTAAACTACTATCTTTACTTTTAGAAAGTCTAAGAGAACGAATTTCTTCTTCTTACTAAGTCTATCTATAACTATTATAATATATTAATAAGAATACTTATATCTAAGATAAATAGATAATAGTATAATAAAGTTAATAGAAATATCTTATTAATACCGTTCGAGAATAGAAAGAGGTTTAAGTAAACCTTACTTACCCTCTCTATAAGTCTTAGATCTTTTATAGATATAATAGCTCTTAATATAGCGAATAACGGAATTCGTTATTCTTAGCTAATAGTAAAGTCTACTTACTCTATTATAAATTAATAATCTATTAGCGTAGCCTTCGAGTAAAGAGTTATAAATACCTCTAATAATCTTAATTCGTAATTCGAGAACGTTCGATATATATAATCTATTATTAATATATAATAATCTATCGTGAAAGTAGTAATTATCTAGTTTTAACTTAAGATTATTCTTAATTATTTTAAGTAATAGCTTCCTCTATTTAAATATCTTTAATTAAATAATTCTCTAAGCGATATCGTCGTAATTATAAATATTCTTTATTTAATATAATAACTTAAAAGTATTAGTAGTAAAGACTTCTCTCGATTCTTCTAAAGACTTCTCTTAAGAAGTCTCTATCGAGGCCCTTAATAATAATTCTTTATTAGACTCCTTATTATTAATATTATCTTATTCGCTAAGTTTATATAATATTATAACTAGAGAGATAATACTTTCTTTTATATTATCTAGAAGTATAGTAGCTAGATATATAGTATTCTTAATATCTTCGTTAAGATTATTATCTTTAAGAATTATATAATATCGATAACGAGTATAATCGTTATTCTTATTTTTAAATAAATCTTTTACTCGTCGAGTAAGACTATTAAATTTAATACTTTATTTCTCTAAACGATAGATAATACGAAAGTTAAATTTAAATAGAAACTTCGTTTATCTTACTTAGCGAAAGTTAAGTTATTTAGATAATATAAAGTATTATAAATTCTTATAATCTAAAATAACTTTAATAAGATCCTCGATAAAAGTACTAGTTAGCTTAAAATATTATTTCTCGAAGACTCGTATTATAGTTATAAGTTTCTTATTATAGATATCGTAGTTATACTTTATAGAAGATATCTTCTTAAAAAGAAATATTATAAATTTAAATATTTTATCTTTATCTTTTTATAATAGAATAAGTAAAGGCCTATGAATTAAATTCATAGAGTTGGATTTTTCATTTTTCTAAGTTAAATGGAGTTGGATTTTTCTAAGTTAAATAAAATTTTAGCCCTAGCCCTAAGTCAAATCGAACTCTAATCGCTTACTATACGTTTTTAACCTACTTCTACTACTATAAAATTAATTTAATCTATATAATATATAGATATATATGTGTAGAGAGAGGCGCGCTAAGGTTTAATTAGAAAGGTATATCGAGTGTAAAAGATTAAAATAGAGAAAGGCCATATTCTTATAGTAAGAAGTATCGAAATATCGAAAAGAAATGAAGATAATATGCTAATTAGTGGTGTAAATCTTATATTATCTCCTATCGTAGTAAAATCTTTCGAATAATAAAATAGCTATTAGAGTAAGATATTAGACGATTTTAATTCGTTTAAATATATATTATTCGATATATCTTTTATAGAGACTTAATTAACTATAATTATCGTAGTAAATTCTCCCTCTTATAACGTTATTGTAATTTCTTCTCTTACTTCTTAATGTAGTAAGAATAATAGATTAAGTTATAGTAATATTCTCCGCTTACTAAGTAATAATTTAATATAGAACCGTGGAGAGTATATAACGTGGGATCTTAAAGAGTTAAGCTGTGTTTTTAATGATAATAGCCTTATTACCGCTTAATTTCTTCGTAGTATTCTCCGCATTTACCTATTATAGTTTCTCCTCTTACTCCTTCTTTTATAAAAAGAGTATTAGACTAAGTAGCTAGCTAAGTAGCTAACTAAGTAAATAACTAATATAACGTGAGATCTTAGAGAGCTAAGCCGTGTTCTTAACGATAATAACTTTATTACCGCTTGGTTTCTTTATAGTATTCTCCGTAGTATTCTCCGTAGTATTCTCCGCATTTATCTATTATAGTTTCTTCTCTTACTTCTTAATATAGTAGGGATAACGAGCTAAGTTACAGTAATATTCTCCGCTTACTAAGTAATAATTTAATATAAAACCGTGGAGAGTATATAACGTGGAATCTTGAAGAGCTAAGTCGTATTCTTAATGCTAAGGATCTTATTGCCGCTTAATTTCTCCGTAGTATTCTCCGTAGTATTCTCCGTAGTATTCTTCGTAGTGTTCTCCGTAAGTATTCTCCGTATTTATCTATTATAGTTTCTCCTCTTACTTCTTAATATAGTATTTCTATATTTATAGAATAATCCGACTAAGATATATAGAATATATTTATTCTTCTTTATTAAGAGAGAGGGAATATAAAGAGTAATTTAATATAGCTATTTATCTTCTTATTAATAGTAATAATTAGAATAATAATTAGAACTATAAGCGTCTCTATTCTTCTTTTTAAAATTATAATATAAAAGAATATTCTAAATTTTAAATCTTTAAATATTATAAAAATAAAATTCTATAATTATCTTTATTTATATATATATTTTAACGAGTTAGATAAGCTTAATAAACTTTATATTTATTCTTCTCTTAAACTCTTCGCTTACTCTTCTATTCTACTCTATCGCGATTCTTTTAAGTACTTTAAATTTATCTTTATCTAATTAAACTTATTAACTATTTATAAATAAATTCGCTTTTTAAATTATTTTAAATCTTTTTATTAAGATTAAATCTATTATTATTAACTCTCTCTAACTATAAATCTATTAATTATCTCTTTATATATTATAGAGTATTAATAATATATCTTAATAAACTTATAAATATTAAACTTATCGAAGTACTTTTTATAAGCTTATTATCTTTACTAATATAATTATTATAATTATTAATTAAATTTTTATATAAAGTACTATTAGCTCTTTTAATCTAATCTAATATATTAAAATCTTCTTTAAGATTAAGTTTAGTCTATTTAAGCTTATTTTCTTAATACTTTATATAAAGA